ATTCATAGGACTATCAAGTTCCCAAGTTAGAAATAGAATTTATGGAGGTTGTGAGTGAAATTCTTTCAAGTGGTCAAAAGTGTGATTAAAGTATAATGGAAAAATTAGTTGCTTACAACTAAATCACTTTTGTCAAAATTTCAAGATCACTTAATGATTTAAGATAAGAACAAGATCAACAAATGAATTAATGCCCAATACATACAATTTCAATTTAGAGGTAAAAATATACCTTACTTAAAGGTATATTATATTTTAAATAACTTGTGCCATTTGCTCTGTAACGCAATTTATCTCTCTCATCTTAACCCAATTAATAAAGAGATAATCATTTTATAAGAAAAACTATTTTATGCCTATTTATACCAAAGGGAACTAACAGTTTTGCTGCTGAACTACCTGTTAGATACATCAATCTGCACAACTAATATTAATATACAACATCATAGTCGTACACTTGGACCTCACATAACTAGCTTTTTTTATTCAAATACAACACATTGTATTATTATACATTTCCATATCTTTTTCTTTTCATCTCAAACCATATATTATATACAGCAATCCAATGCCTCTCAGTGTTTTGCAGTTACATGCAAGAACATGAAAGTATTTAAAATTGACAAGCTCAAATTTTGTATTATTTTTGAGTGGAAAACCTGGCTAGCAAAAAGTTCTGTTGGGACACACACATTAATCCTGCAAACTAAATTAAAGAATATTTGAAATAACCTTACAATAAAAAAAAAACACTTTTTTTTGCAGCTATTCCTGAACTCCTGTTAAACTTTCTAGTGGAAAGACGAGGCCTGAAAAGGCTGCGCATTTAGTATTCACTTGCTCAGTGAACATTATAACAAGCTGTTGATCAAAGTCAATACCTTCTACCTAAAGTAGTTTCCTGAGTTTCGATGAACACCAACTTATGCTGCATAGCCTCCTGAATGAACTTGGAAAGAAAAATAGCACCTGATATCTCGTTCCAGCACTCTAATTCTCGCAGCCAAGAATGCCAAGGTCTGTTCTCCAAGTCCGATGCCAGCAAAATTTCCTTGATTTCAAGGCTGTGAGCGTGTAGCGGAATTCTAATGTGTGTCTGGTGTGCATGCAACGAGGGTCGTAGAATTCGCCATCAGGCTAGGACTTCCCAGTGGAGGAAGTTGGTGTTGTGCCGTCAGTATTGAGTTGATATAATAGAGACCAGTTAGTTTGACTGCCACAAGCGCTTTCTAGTACTCGTTCTATAGATTGCAACGTACCCTTCGTTGGAAACCCCGAGAACATACGCCTTGGGTAGGACTTGGTATCCCACATGGCACCAGATGATACTATCCCCGTCCCTGTACATGATCACGTAACAGTCCTTGTCGTGCCGGTGTATGTGAGATCTCCTAGCACGGCCGTACAGCACTAAGTTACAATCTGTTTGCATTGTCAATCGGAACCCTCCACTGACAGAAATGATGCTGTTGCCACTACTAAGATACGATGCTGGAACTTTACCTCTCAGGAAGCTACTCACCAGGGTCGTCATGTAGATCTAGCAGTCGTGCCTATCATCGTCAACATGTGGCTTGAATATATCCCAAATCTATCCGCCTCTAATCCCTCTTTGATGACGAGGACTCCTCGTCATTGTTCTCGTCGGGGTCGGGCACGAGCGCCTCGTGGCGAAGTCCAACGTATCGCAGTGCAATGGTTACCAATCCGTCCGACCCCTGACCTCGTCCATAAATTCGATCACACATGTCCCTTGCTGAGTTGACGACCTCGGTGGCTCCTAGCACACCCCCGATAATGGAAAGCGTGACTCGAGCATAGACGTTCTGGCCCATGTTCTGGCCGAACTCCACATTATCCAACAGATACTGCCCGAGGCGATCGACGAGAGTTGTGACTTGAGTTACGGATAGAGCATTGTAAAAAATCCTTCTCGTGACCAGGCGACGCTTGACAATGATGTATGGTGCAGCAGGCAGGACATAACGTACGCTTTGCATGCTTCAAGAAGCCTCGCTCGCTCGCTTCCTTTCAAACCATTTGGTTTGTGTCCTGGACCGCAGCCCCAAAGTTTTTGCTTTGGGAAGAAAAGACTGACGTGAATACCAGTCAAAACATCAAAATAGACTGATACTAACAAGATCCGAAGAAACCTGGTTGGAAGCTAGAAGTTTGGCATCGCAGCCATCTTCTCCAGATCTTCTTGTGACAGCAGTGTTGATTTGCTGACCTGAGGGTCTGATGGTTGAGCCATCCGCCGCAAAAACTGTAAAATGAAAAGCATTCAACCCACGCTTTGATAATATTTTCTGTACTTCTCGGGCAATGTGGACTGCCATATCAGTACTCAGGTTTAGGTGCTCTTCCCGTAGCTGAGATTGAATCCACTGCGGCAACTTGTTTCGTTTGTTAGGAAGGTTATACCTGTTTCAATGTCAACAAAATTAGAAAAAAGAAAAGGAAAAAAAGAAAAAGAAACGACAGGGGAAAACCTCTTGTCTGCAAATATCATCATTCCGTAATCTGCTTTTGAGCGAATGACACGGCCTACGCATTGAGCAGCTTGTCTCTGGTACAGGTAAACGAATAAGCGGAGAACAGAACGTAAAGAACTTGCCACAGCATCGAAGGTGAGAAAGTCTCCCTCCTTTATCTGAAATGTATCTCGCAAATACTCCAGGCGCGCATTCAATATTCTGGGAATCGAAAAGAGGGAGATTCATCGTTTTGGATATGCGTGTACAACTTACTTGCTCAGTGTATACTGAAACGGCACCCCAAACATTATGACAAGGCGACCATAATGTCGATCGAAGTCAATACCTTCTGCAACTTTCCCCCTACATAGAACAATGTTTTTACCAAGTAAAAGGTGCCAGAAAAGCTAACAAACCTAGCGACTGAGAAAAATACGGCTCCACGGCCACAATCACAGGCTTGACGGAAGTTCTCCAAGGCCAAAGTAGTCTCAACATAGTCTTGCGTTTCTATGAACACCAACTTATGTTGCATAACCTCCTGAAACCAGCACTTGCACGTAAAGGAATGCCAATAACCTGAAAAATCTCACCTGTAAGATTCCCATCTCATTCCAGCTGTTGATTATCCCGTCCATGTATGAATAACTTACAAAGAAACATACCACTCCATCCGGGACAGTGGCCACCATTTCGAGCAAGAGGCGTCCATAATTTCGGACGACACCAGGGTCGCTCCGCATATCAAACTTTGAGCTCACTGGAAGTTGATCACTGTAAACAAGTCCTGTGAGATACTCACGACAGCGAAAACAAAATAGTACCTTCCTCGCGCGAGGATCATCGGACACAAGCAGTCCCTTGTCAGAGTCATTGTGAAACTGTGGATAATGACCGGGTTAAAGTTAAGCAACCGCGGGTAGAGATCGATGGGACTTAACGTTCCTGAAGTTATTACCACGGACTGAAAACGGTCAAACACGGGTTTGATGGCGAGAGACGCATCTAGACAGCTTAGCTGCAACCAAACAAACCCGAGGCGTTTGGTCCGAATGATCGGAAAAACGAAGCAGGAAAACACGTACTTGCAAGACTGGATCTGGAATATGAGGCATACGCTCGTCATAAGGTTCGATGATGATGGAGAAACCGCGAGTGTAGGTGCCAACGAGAGTAAGGAAGTTGCAGACGGTTTGTACATGCAGGAACTCGTCAATCTCGGTCACCTCCAGCGTCAGCAAAAGGGAGTGCAAGCGGTCGTAGCAAAACTTGAGCGCTTTCTGGTCCAGCCCCGCTGCAGTGCTCATCGTAGTCGTGAAAGAAACAGGACCCTCTTTCACTACCGTGTCCGTGTCCAGCCGCTCGCGGAGGTATTGTACCGCTCTCTGTAAAAACGCTACGAAGTGTTCTGCTCGTCGTATGTTCCCTGGCACAGCCTCACGCAGAATGTCTTCTGGGAGAACGGGGTTGGCAAGCCAATTATCCGAACCTAAAGAACGAGCGAAGAAAGAAAGGAGCCTTTAGCAAACTTCGTTGTTTCCAACATTACCATGGAGATTTCCTTGCTGCGCCAGACCTTCTACGAGCCTGTTATACTCCTGCCGCAGACGGTTGGCATCGGTTTCCTTGAATCTGGAAGACACGACAAGATAAACATGGTTTCACAGGGAAAAATCGGAAAAAGAAGAAAAACCTGGAGATGATTTGGTTGAGCTTGTGTATGTTCCTGCTGGCGCCATCGAGATTGTTTTGCCGCAAGTTGACGCTGAGCGCCTCGATGCAAACGTTGTCAATGTTATGAGCCTCGTCAAAGACGACGATGCACTCCTTTTGCATCTCCTTGGAGATGATCCCCGACACCTTGGGGTCGAGGAGGTACTGATAGTTGTACACCACCACATTCGCAAACTGGATCATCTGCCTGGCCAGAAAGTATGGACACCAGCCGCGCTGCCTGCCATACACTCGGAGGTCGTGAAGAGTGTAGACGCCGGGAGGCAATGGCTGCTCGCTGCCTTGCTTCTCATATCCCTGGTAGAAGGAGCACGTCTCAATGTCGGGGTTGGTCTCGGCGGCGGCTCTCACCCACGACGCCGTCAACTTTCGGCAGCCGGCGTCGACGCTCTCCCTGGAGGTCTCGCTGCTCACCACGGGATGGATGCACAGGTTCTTCCGGGAGCTCAAGCCCAGCGCCAGGATCTTGGCCCGGCTGCTGCCAATCTCCTTCTCCTGGTAGAGGTGGAGGCGGCGGAGCTCGTCCAGCACCTTCTCCATCTCGTGCACGGTGCGCGTGCAGTAGATGAGCTTGGCGAGCGAGGGATTGGCGAGCTGGTAGCTGGTGATGAGGGAGAGGAGCGTGATCGTCTTACCCGTGCCCGTCGGCATCTCCAGGAGGCAATGGCCGCGGGCGTCGAGCGCGTGCTTGAGCTCCACCATGTACGCATACTGCTCGCGATAGATGAACTCATAGGGGAAGTAGACGGTGAGCCCCTCGATCACAAACTTCATAACTCTCAAGAACCCTAACAAAAACCCCCCTCTATTTACTGGAAAATTACATAACAGGCTCTATCCTCTTCTCTTGCTTTCACTGATCCGCAAGCACTGCATTGCTCCAAGACAGGACGAAATCCCGAGCAGCCGCAGGGATTCCTGCTCAGAAGATAAGAAACAAATATCAATAGCTACTTTATGTTGATCGAGAGATCACAAACCTTGCAAGACATCGAGAGCCAATGCAGCTGGATCCAAATCTTTCTCGACCAGCCGGTAGACGTCCAGAACCTGCAGCAACCCAAATCTCATTATTCAGGAACTCCACTCCATCGTGAGTAGAGAGAGCATCACTCACTTCGTCAACATGAAGCCTCGAGTCCTCGGTGAAAGCCAATAGGAGCTGGCGCCGGATTTCGGGATCGGTGATGACAACTCTCACACCGTCTTTGATGGTGTCTGTGAGATCGAGCTTGGGAACCTGGCCTTGAGAAGCCGTGGCAGACCTGCAGCAGCACAAAACATTGAGCTTCTAATCCGATGGAAAAAAAGTGACCTTGCTTTTGACTTCGGACGCTGGGGTTGCGACTCATCATCGCTACTTGCTCTCTGGCAAGCATGATCAAGTTCTCCAGCCGATTCCACTGAAACATGCCATCCTTGAACAGCACCTAGATAACAAATGTGAGAGTTACTTTAGAATCTCGCAAACATCTAGAGATGAGATTTTCTTACTTGCAGCAATCTCTCCCGCAGGTATGGCTCGGGATCAGTCAAGAGTCTCTTTGCTACGTATGGATAAGCTACCTGAGTTTTTTTTTTTTTTTTGTTGCGTGTGAGTTGAAGATAGAAAAAGTGAAGAGAAGCTTACCTCGAGAAACTTAAAATCTGGCTGGAGCGTCAAACAAATTCCTTCCTGTGTTAGTAGCGAGCGGATGACTAGCGAATACTTCTCAGGTATACGAATAGGATACTGGTACACAAGCTCATTGAATTGTTCTGTGAACAAAAGCAAAAGAACCACATCAAGAATCACGAGAAAGAAAAGCTTGCATACTTGTAACAATGCGGAAGTTAAAATCCGCGAGACCCTTCCCCATTGAGTTTCCCCAGATCGCCTCCAGAGCTGGAACAATAGGAGTTATGTCCGTTCCCGGTGCAAGAAATCCAAGTCTAGAGAAATCGTTGGCCATTTCCACGTAGTCTTCGTTAACGGCGTGAACGACCGCATCAATGAGAATTTGCTTATTTCTCTGCATGAACGACGGCCTGTAAGCAGGATATAATAAAGTGTCTCTGCGAAAAAGATACCTGTGTGAGCTGTGCTACATTGCCAAAATCAACGTAAGCAATGCGGCCATCACGCATTGCAAAAATGTTTCCAGGGTGAGGATCGCCATGAAAAAGACCAAACTCAAGAAGCTGCCTTAGAGCTGCGCTCACACCAACAGTGATAAAGGCTGGCACGTTGATACCAGCATCAGTTATAGCCTAGAGAGGCGCAACATATAAGCGTGAGGTCGAGAGTCCCTACAAACAACTAATGACGGACCTGAGGATCAGTGCAGCGAATTCCGTCAATCCACTCCATCACCAAAACACGAGAGCCGGAGAAGCTCTTGTACACGAGAGGGATCTTCACGGTCGGATCATTCTTAAAGTTCTTGTAGAAGTCCTCAAGGTTTCGTGCTTCCTGTCTCAGGAAAAAGATTTCAAGAATTAGCAATCAAGAAGAAGACGGGGAAGGATTTAACTTACAAGAGTGTAGTCGAGCTCTTCTAGCAGCTTCTCTCCAAACTCGTCGACAATCAACTCAGCATTACATCCAAGCTTCTTTGTGCTGATGCCGTTCAAGAAAGATGCAAGGGTTCTAAACAGAAACAAATCTCTGTAGATTATAGGCTCGATGCCAGGTCTCTGGACCTACAAACCAGCATTTCAACTCGTGGAGAAAGATGTAAGCGAGAAAGTTTAAGAAAGGAAGAGAGTACCTTGACGGCGACTTCCTCTCCAGAAAGAAGCGTTGCTCGGTATACTTGACCAAGGCTAGCTGCGGCAACTGGCTGTGCCGAGATTTTCCGGAAAGCTTTCTCCAGAGGCATGTTAAGGTCGCTCTCGATGATGCTGAATGCAATCTGGCAGAAGAAAATGAAAACCAATACGAAACAAGCTTAATAGCAAGACCTGGTTTGGGAACGATGGAACGTCATCCTGGAGTGTGCACAACTCGTTCATGTAATCCTGTCGAACGATATCGGGCCTGTTCGCAAGAACCTGCAAAACAACCGAGTTTCGAAATCCATGAAACACGCAAGAAGTTTTTCATACCTGTCCAGCCTTTACAAACGAGGGTCCTAGATCGCAGAGCAAAGTCCTGAGCTGTGCAGCACGAAGGGGGACCATTTCGTCGTCTCTTCCAACCAGACAATCGTAGGAAAGGCTCGCCCAGTACAGTCCGAGCCTCCATATGATCTCCACGCATCGCCCAACAACGGAGGCGAATGACTCCCTCGACTCAAGCACTCTTTGGCGAACCTGTTTGCTCCAAACACTAGGCTAAGTACGAAAGAGTCCGCGATCTCGAGCCTTACCAGTTCCGGTGTGTACTTTCTCAAGAGATTGCAAGCTCCTCGCTCCAAGTCCAGCTCCTCGAGTGCTTCGGTCGAGGGGAAAGCAGTGGCAGAGCCATTGAGACCCGACTTGATTCTGAGCGGAGCTGTAGCGACCCGACAGATCACACAGCTCCTTCTCCTCGTCCGACCACTGATCGAGTGTGGAGGAACATTTCGGAGCCTGGCACTGCTTCCAATTGCCGGTGTTGCTGCTACCTCCATGTTGGCAGTGAAAAAGAGCCACACTTTCTGGGCAAAGCATGTCCACGTAGACCCCGTTAAAAAGCCCACAGCCCTTTTGGATCATATCCATTCATTTCTCATCGCATTTTCTCATCCAGGAAATGCACCACTTGTATGAGTGACAAGGTGGATAGACTCCACCGCCATGGAAGATTTTTGCAACGCTCCTTCCTAGCTGGTTGCATCCATTTTGAGCGTGTTTTGCATCAGCACGAAACGGGCACCGTCCGACTCCGGCATGACATGGACGCCAGCGGCTTTTGCTGCGAGCTTGGCATCTTTGTGAAGTTTGCAAGCACTGATCAAAGAAACCCAGCCATCCCTCTCGCACTCGACGGAGTTTAGAAGCAGTTCCTCCGCCTGTTCCAGCAGGCCCAAGCGACCCAGGAGATCCACCATGGAAATGCAGTGCTCGACGGCAGGAGCAACTCCATAGTCGTGCTTCATGCCCCCAAAGTACTGGCAGCCGTCCTCTGAGAAGCCTCCGTGGCTGCAAGCCAGCAGAAGAGCACTGAAAGTTGCCTCGTTTGGCTGGTGGATACTCTCCAGCTCCAGTGTCCTGAAAAGCTCGAAAGCTTGGCTTGCTTGGCCGTTCTTTGCATACCCTGCGACCGCAGCATTCCAAGTGACTATGTCGCGTTTCCTCATTCCGTCGAACACGCTTCTAGCCGCTTCCATGCCTCCACACTTTGCATACATGCTCACGAGTCCGTTGCCTACAGCGACTCCTCCTCCAATCTCCATGCCATTGACGATGGAGTGGTGAAAGATCCTACACGCTTCCAGTTCTCCCAATCTTCCAAAAGCCTCGAGAGCTGCCACGACGGCGACACCGTCTACAGGAACTCCTTCCAGGTCCATGACGCTAAAGAGTCGCACAGCATCCTTGAATCGTCCAGCCCGGGTGTAAGTTGCGATCATAGCAGTCCACGACACTGTGTTCTTGTGTGCCGCTCTATCGAACACGTCTTTAGCTCGTTCGCTCAAGCCACACCGTGCATAAGCGCTAACGAGAGCTGCGCTCAACATCGTGTCGGACTCCATCCCCCTGAGTGTGATCTCATCGTGGGCAAGACGAACAAACATTTCAGCACTGGCGGCGGCCTGGAGAACTGCGACGAATGTCATTCTGTCGGCTTGCACGGTGCCTTCCAAATCCATTGACGCCAGTAGCCGAAACGCAGCCCCGGTCATTTCCTGTTCTCCATACGCAGCAAGCATCACATTCCAAGAGGCTGTATCCTTTCTGAAAGGCATTGAATCAAAGAGCTTGTTTGCTTGCTCGATATGCCCGTTTTGGGCATATGCCGAGATCAATGCATTCCAAGACACGGCATCTCTCTCGGGCATCTGATCAAAGACCGCCTTGCATCTATCCAAGTCCCTGAGCTGCGCATAAACCGTTATAACGGTGTTCCAGGAGACCAGATTCTTCATTGGCATCCTGGCGAAGACACTGCAAGCTCTTTCCATATCCCCGTTTCGGGCATGTCCAGAAACAAGAGCAGTCCAAGACACGACGTCCCGCTGCGGCATTGCGTCAAAGATTTCCCGAGCTTTAACCATGAGACCGTTTTGAGAGTAGATCTTCAGCATCACATTCCACACCACTACATCCTTGTCTGGCATCGTATCAAAGAGCTCTCGAGCTTCGACAAGATACCCGTTCTGAGCATATGCGGTGATCATGACAGTCCACGAAAAAACATTAGGCCTGTCTATGCTCTCAAAGGCCGCCACCGCGCGCTGAATGCTCCCACAGCTCCCATACATCTGAACGATGAGATTGCCGAGGTATCTGTTTCGAGAGTGGTGGTGCGATGCTGCAATTCGGCCGTGAACGAGAGTGCCTTGTGCTAGATCCTTGGCCCGCGCGCATTTTCTAAGCAGAGAAGCCAAGAGGGCGCATTCGTCTCGAAACGAAGTGTCGACTGTTGACATCTGTGGCAAGCGAATAGAAAAGATTTCGCTACGCAGTCATCGTGCGCAGTGCGATTCAAAGTTGGCATGGACGTGCGATTCAAAGTTGGCATGGACGAATGTTTGTTAGCTTCCGGTGACAACGTTGACTGTGTGGCGGACGAGTTCGTTCCACTCCAGCTCCACTGTTAAAAGGCGAGAATATGTGGAGGGGAATCTCGAGTGAGCTGCAAGCCAAGCGCCAGGAGAGCAATTTAAGCAAAAAAGCAGCGGAGGACAAGGGGGTATCCATCTATCCCATCTATCTCTCTATCATCCGCAAGGATTATAGCTATGGCGGTCTTGTGCTGCTCACACCACCCTAGCACGCAGCTCAGAAATCCCCATGAGTCGTCCTCCCACCACAAATTCGCCAAGGGCATGGTGGCTTTTCCAGGCAGCTCGCGGCCCATGAAGTTCTCGCCGCCGCCGAGATGGAGAATGCTGGCGACCCCCGCGTCGCGGACGCTCCAGGACGTCAAGAACAGCAGCACAGGTGAATCCTCCTTCGATCTCCAATCCTACTTGCAATTCAAGGGCGTGGCCGTGAACGCGGCGCTGGACGAGGCGCTGCCGATGCGCTACCCGGACAAGATCCACGAGGCCATGCGCTACTCGCTGCTGGCGGGCGGCAAGCGCGTGCGGCCCATCCTGTGCATCGCCGCCAGCGAGATGATCCCCGGCGGCACCCAGGAGGCGGCCATGCCGTCCGCCATAGCCATGGAGATGATCCACACCATGAGCCTCATCCACGACGATCTCCCGTGCATGGACAACGACGATCTCCGCCGCGGCAAGCCCACTTGCCACAAGGCGTTTGGCGAGGACACGGCGGTGCTGGCGGGCGACGCGATGCTCTCGCTCGCGTTCGAGCACATCGCGCGGTGCAGCGCGGGCGTGCCGGCGGAGCGAGTGGTGCGCATCGTGTCGGAGCTGGGCAGCGCGGTGGGATCGCAGGGCCTGGTGGCCGGCCAGATCGTGGACATCGCCTGCGAGGGCAAGGAGGGCGTGGACCTGGACACGCTGCGCTACATCCACATCCACAAGACGGGCAAGCTGCTCGAGGCGGCGGGCGTGTGCGGCGCCATCGCGGGCGGCGCGAGCGAGGAGGAGGTGGGCAGGGTGCGGAGCTACTCGCAGGCGGTCGGGCTGCTGTTCCAGGTGGTGGACGACATCCTGGACGTGACCAAGAGCTCGCAGGAGCTGGGCAAGACGGCGGGCAAGGACTTGATCTCGGACAAGACCACGTATCCCAAGCTGCTGGGCTTGCAAGGGGCGCGCGACTACGCGGAGGAGCTCCTGGCGGGGGCCAAGCAGCAGCTGGCGGCGTTTGGGGAGTCGAGGGCGGCGCCACTGCTCGCGCTGGCCGACTACATTGCCTACCGTCAAAATTGACCGTGTACCATTTTAGGGCTTATTCTTTATACGAAAGGAAAGCGTCAAAAAGTTGATCACATTTCTAATACAAGTAAGAAAAACAAACAAACTAGCTTACTTTGCAGCAATTTGCTCCCAGTGAGGATCGAACTCACGACCTCTCGCTTACGAAGCGAGCGCAATACCACTATGCTATGGAAGCCTTAACTTATTCTCGATCCGCTCAGCTTCCTAGAACAATTGATGTGTCTTCTTGTATTTTCATGTTTACTTGAATAAAGAGCTACCTAGGGCTTGCCATGGCGCTCTCGGGGCTCTCGTCCGTAGCATCCGGAGCGGCGCTGGTGGCGGCGTCGTCTACATCAGGGCCTGGGGTGAGCTTAAACCTAGCCGCATTTGTTTGATCCATCGCCACAGAGAGATTTCGTCTTGCAGCGGACGAGCGTGAGGATTCCTACATTTCTAGCATGGCGGAGGGATCGGAGACTGCTGAGGTGCGATTCCGCCCGCGCCTTGTCGCCTGCGAGTAAGACTGGGGAGGAATCCGCGACGAGGAGCGCGGTAGCGGCATCAAAGCCACAAGACCCGCTCAGATCGTTTCCGTGGGACGTGGCCGCCAAGAGATTCGCCGCCAGGCTATCCGACTTGGTGTGGACGGCGCTCAAGTGGCTCACCATCCCTGTGCTGCTCGTCTCCTCCGCCAGCGAGCTCGCCTACACGCTCGTCCATGGCAAGGCCCTCTTCGTGCCAGTCTCCATGCTCCTCGGGATTGCGCTCGCGGGGATCATGAACGAGGTTGCGAAAGAAGTGTCTCCAAGTCTCCGGGTACGTGCACGCTTGCGAGCGACTGACTTGACGAGTTTTTCTCGCCTCGTTCTCTTGCAGAAGGGATTTCCATTCCACTTGGTGGTGATCGGCGTTGGATTTGGATTGATCAAGATGCCCGGACCCTCGTATCCTTTCTGGGGACGGATAATTCTTCCACACTTTGCGAATGGCGGGCTGTGGCAGACTTGCTATCTCATCTGGCGTGGGCTGAGATGATCTTCGGAGTGTTTTACTACTCTCGAGATATTTGAGGAGGGCATATCCGGCAGGGATCCTTGGAATATCCACTTGGTGCTTCTTTCAAAGTTAGTAGTTCTTCCACTTCCGCCCTAGGAGAGATTTTTGGCCGCGCCTGCCACTAGCTATGCAGGGCACTCGAGTGCCTCTCCATTGCTCTCCATTCCTTCCGCTCCCTCCGCCACCGCTTCTGCCACCTCCGCTGCCGCTTTCTCCATTCCAATCCACTCTCGCGAGCAGCTGCTCGTTTCAGTCTCTTCCTCTCGCCTTGTCCCCGCCGAGAAGTGGTGCTCTGGAGAGCTGTGCTGCTGCGTTCTGGAGCCCGAGCTTGGTGAGAAAGCAGAGGAGGAGGAGATTGTCGAAGCTGGATGCCGTTGCCAATGCTGTGGAGGAGCGGGAGCGGGAGCGGGACACTGGTACCATTGGGCCTCGCCGAATTGCTCTCTTCGTGGAGCCGTCTCCGTTTGCGTGAGTAGCAAATTTCTTTCCTCTCATTCTCTCATTGTCTTGCTGGGCACAGCTATGTCTCTGGATATAAAAATCGCTTCCAGAATTTCATTCGCTATTTGAGAGAGATGGGGGACGAGGTTCGTGCTTTTGCGTGCTTTTCTTCTTGTTCTGTTTATAATCTTTAATCCCAGGTGCTGATTATCACGACACACGAAGGTGTTCCCACCGAGTTTCATGGAGCCAAAGTTATCGGTTCCTGGAGGTAATGCTCAATTTCTACGAAGAAAAAACGTTTTTTCTTTTTTCTTTTTCCTTTTGAAACAAGTGTTTTTCTCTTTTCTCGTGAAGCTTTCCTTGCCCGTTCTACAAACTCGTTCCCCTGTCGCTTGCTCTCAGTCCACGCATCATCTCTGAGGTTGCGCATTTCAAGCCCGATATAATTCATGCGTCCTCTCCAGGAATAATGGTATGGTTTTGATTTTCTTCTACATTTTAATTCTTGATGCAGGTTTTCGGCGCTCTAGCGATTGCAAAGCTGCTCCACATTCCTATTGTGTTGTCCTACCACACTCATGTCCCTTTGTAAGCTCTTATTGTCTTTTCTTTCACAAAGTTAATGCTTGATCAACAGGTATATACCGAAGTACACATTCAGCTGGCTCGTCAAACCAATGTGGCTGATCATCAGTAAAGTTTCACTTTCCCAAGCCAAATCGAATGTTAAATTTAAAAAAAAAAACTTTTTCTGTCGTGCAGAATTCTTGCATCGAGCTGCAGACCTTACGCTGGTAACTTCCAGTGTTCTTGGAAAAGAGCTCAAAGCAGCTGGCGCAGCAACAGGTATAGTGCAATCAATGTTTGTTTGCATCTAATCCATCCCTTTCCAGCCAACAAGATTCGTGTTTGGCGCAAAGGTGTCGACTCGGATAGATTCCATCCTCGATATAAAAGTGACGCTATGAGAAACCGGCTCACGTAAGCTTCGGTACATTTTCTCCTTCCGATCTCCATGATCTTGACTGGCAAATCACTTTCAGCGGCGGGGAACCTGAGCGTCGCCTAGCGATTTATGTGGGAAGACTGGGAGTCGAGAAGAACCTGGAGTTCTTGTACAAGTATGTCAAGAAATACTTCCACCGGTTTTCTGTTTTCTCACGTTGCAGTGCTTTTAGAGTGATGCAGAGACTACCCGACGCAAGGATTGCGTTTGTAGGTGATGGACCGTCCAGGTAAGTCGCTGAATTTCATGGCTAAACTTGTTCTAGCGAGTCCACATCTTTGCAGGAAGGACTTGGAGGAATTGTTCGCGGATTTGCCAGTGGTTTTCACTGGAATGCTTCAAGGAGAAGAGCTCTCACAAGCCTACGCCAGTGCGGACGTGTTCGTGATGCCATCCGAGTCGGAAACGCTGGGCTTCGTGGTCCTCGAGGCAATGGCCTCCGGAGTTCCCGTGGTTGCGGCTCGGGCGGGGGGCATTCCCGACATTATCTGCGAGGGTGGCGAGACCGGATTCCTGTATGCTCCTGGCGATTTGGACGAGTGCGTGAACAGGGTGCGAAGTTTGTTTGATTGCGAGGAGCTGCGGCAGAGGATTGGAGACGCCGGGCGGAAAGAAGTGGAGAAGTTCGACTGGAGAGCGAGCACGAGACAAGTGCGGAACGAGGAGTACGGGGCTGCGATCTGGTTTTGGAGAAAGAGGAGGCAGCAGTTTTTGAGAAGATTAGCGTGGGTCATGAGGAAGCTACACTTGAAACAACGCTGGCCTGGTGGAAATGTTGGAAGTGCAACTTGATTGGACAATATTCTTTACCTTCGGTTTAAGAAACTTAGAAGAGACAATGTTCAAGACAGCCTTGGCTTACTTCGACTTGCTAATCTCCTTTCTGTCTTTGTCATAGTCTTCTACTAGCTTTCGGACATCCTCCCAAAACAAAGCCTCTGCAAAAACTCCTTCGCTGGAGAACCTGGGCAGCAAAATTAGTGTGTTGTGTTGGATACAACCGTGACAAACCACACGACAAGCATACCATTTTGTAACGCTCTTGGTAAACTCCACCGGCGAATGGGCCGAGATGTGACCCGGATCAGCACTCGCAATGCGTAGAGTATACTTTGGCGAGTGACGGGGGAGCTTGGACGATATTGCTAGTCCAGTACTGGTAAACGAGCCCTGCAACACTCAAGTTAGAGTCCTCTCCCGCAAGAAAGAAGAAGAAAAAAACAATCGTGACGTACCGGGAACGGATACGTGACGACTATGTTGTTCTTCTCCTTGAAGTAGACGATCGCTTGGATGGCGAGATTCAAGACAACATACGTGGGATCTGTGTCAAGGAAACAAGAAAGGAAACAAAACAAAGATTTGAGGATATAAGGCAATGCAGACGAGTAGAACTGGCTTGTTCTCCGGGAATTTCTTGGGATAGAGCTGCGCTGCCAGAGCAACGAGGCAGGCTAGAAAGCCAAGGCCCAGCTTCATGTTGCTCACCGTCACATTCTCCTTGAATCCCATGTCGCCGATGACCTGGTAACGGAGAATCCAGCTCTCAGCTCCCAGATCTAGCGAAATTCTCATGAGCTCCTACCTCGGAGACAGTCTCATCGAGCATGCGCTTGATGGCGAAGTGATCGCTGAGATTGACCTTCTTAACCGCGGCCGCGGCCTTCGCCTCCCCCATAGCCGGCGACGGTAAACCCTAAGACTGGATTTCCCGTAATGACATGGATTTATACACGTCACACTTCTCCTGATATCTCCCGCCCAACGGGCAGCTGCGCATTTAGGGTTCCTATGGCCGAAGCTCCTTCTCCCCGTCCTCTCCCGCCCGAGAGGGATCTCTACGGCAAGGATGATCTTCACTACCTCAGTTTCTCGGCGCCAGTGCCGACGCTGCCGTTCATCGACATCCATGACTATGTAAGTGTTTCTTTGAGCAGTGGAGCGGTTCTAAGCTAGGGATTGTCGAGCAGGATTTACCGTATGGCGGGAAGAACTTCCTGCACGACACTTTTGCGAAATCGCAGACCACGCCCAGCCCGTTTCAGTTCAAAGGATCGACTGTGAAGAAGGAAGGAGCGAATTTGCTGTCTTGCCTTACTGGTGTCAAGACCGATGTCACGCGCCACAAGCATTGGGTGCCTGGCTGCGGCCGTGTGCGATGTAAGTACGACCAGCAATTCACCGAAGAGGCTGTGAAGCAGCTGGAGGATTTGCTGGATGGGAAAAAGAAGAGGTCTTCCAAGTCGGGCTCTCAACGGTCGCGCAGGAGTTATGTCTGCTACATGGTGGACGAGTGCGTGGATACAGGAGATTTGGAGGGGCTGGTTTTCGACTTCGATGCTGACAGTGATACCACAGTTGCTCAAGGTAGCTCCAGCAGCAGTAGTGACGAGGACGATAGCCCCGAAAAGAAGCCTGGAGTTATGGACAAGTCTCCGAACGAGTACCTTGCTCTCATCAAGGATTCCATGAGCCGTATCGGTCTGCGAACGCAAATGCTACATGACCTTTCGCTCGGTGAATGTCCTCCGAGAGAGGCACCGGCGTCAGCTCCAGCTCGATCGCAGGTTCAGGGATCTGCCGCCGCCGCTGCTCAAGAAGCGGATTCACCATATATGTCGCATACAAGCATCAGTGTCAAGCAAGCCCGAAAGCTAGTAAGTTCAAGCCTGCATGGAGACTCTTTTTTATATTTTTCTTTTGTGCTTTCCAGGTTGGTGCGATGCACACTGATGAGCAGGCTATCGATTTGAGGGACTTGCTGTCCTGGATGGAACAACTGGGTGGGCTCTCTGTTTATTATTCGTGTTTACGAGAGGATTCCTGCTGTCCAGGTGCTATGGCTGAAGAAAAGAGCAAAGAGTACGAGTCCCGGCAGAGTTTAAAGCCCGAGTCTACAGAACAGATGAAGTCGAGGCTGCAAAACGTGGGAGGAAGTGACTGGAGACTTCCTGCCTCTCCACCTATCGCTTTACAGCTTGCGAACGAAGATTTGCAAAATCGACTGGCTAATCTGTATCAAGAAAAGGTTCTCATCATCTGGTTCTACGGTTTGTAAACGTTTGGTGATACTATGTTTGTTGACAGAACTTCCTGAATAACAAAATTCAGAGCTTGAGAAAGGAAGACCTGGATGTAAGTTCGGCTGTAACAGAGAAGAGCGTTCTTATGTCTGTCTGTTAATGCAGGAATCTCAAAACATGCCGCAGGAGTTTATGTCAGCACTACGGTCCTTGGTGTGTTTCTCCTTCACCAGCTTAAGGACATATCTTGAGTGGTAAATGCACTTGATTCTGAAAGTCCCGTGACAGGATGGGCTTTAAGCATTGTTTACTACTTATTCGCAGGAAGAAGACTACGAACTTCTTGGTGACTCAGTGTCGCAAAATCTTGAATCTGCTGAACGTTTGGTACGAAGCCTTCCTTTGATTTCCCATTGATTTGAGTTTCTTTGGTTTGTCAGGAAGGACGATATCAGCTACTTGAGCAACAGCTGAATGCAACCGGTAAAGAGTTTCTTATATTCGTTGCTCCGCTTCTCAAAAGTTTTGTTCTTTGCTGGCAGGAAATAGTGCCGGCAAACATCTTCACGACATGGTGAAAGTGAAAAATCTACTGGGACCAGATGCCGTTGAAGGGCTTCAAAAATTACCTCCATCAAGACCTGATTCAGCTTTAAGTGAGGCAGAAAAAACTACACGGGAGGTCACAGAAGATCCTAATAAGAAGCCAAGGAAAAGCAGAAGTCCCGAAGCGATGCGAGAAGGAGGTGAAGGGGCCGCTTCAAAGCCACCGATTCGGATCCAGTCAAAAGTCTACCCAAGGAAGTCACCCAGCCCGAAGTTAGGCAAAGGAGACGACGACCGGCGTAGTCCCAGTCCTCTATCTGCCTCTGGAAGTCAGACTCCCGACTCGAGGTCGACAACTAGAAGTGAAACTGCAAGCCAGGGTAAAAATCTGATACAGATCATCCAGGACGACAAGACGAAGATTATTGAAAGTCGAGATGATGGAAGTGATAAGAGAGTTAGACGTCCTGCAAGGAAGGATAAAGCTGTTCAAACTGATTCGATTACAGTATCGTCCCTGGTAACTTCATCCTTCTTATATCTTCCTCTGACCATGTTTTAATTTCAGATGGATGATCATCGTGACTTTGCTGATGAACCACACGTGTCTACGACTCACTTGGAGGTGCGTGATTTATTTGGATTCATTCAAATTAGAAATGTTGTGTGCACACCAGGTTAAGGCTGCCGAAAAGCCTGAGAAGCCACCCACTCCAGTTCCAACACCCAAACCAACAGTCGCGGACAAAGTTAGTGCCAGACCAGAAACACCAACTACAACACCAACTTCAAGCCCAGCAACACCAGCAACAGGAAGTCCTTCAGAGTCTCCTGCGCTGGACGGCGATTCCTCCAAAGTCAACATGCTTCACAAAGAGCTGGTAAGTCTTAGCTTGGGATCAAAAAAGTTTTTGACGCACAAACCGGGCTTGTTCATGACAGGAAAAATCCAAGAAGCAACTCAACTATTACCGTACTCGTAACTGGGCTGAAAAGCACGAGGCTCACGCTGTTCCGATTCCTGTTACTGCGACACGACGCCAAGAAGAACCATTGGCTCCTGAGGGAGACGTCGGACTTATTTTCGTTTACAACCCAACGTCTGGATTCCATACAATGCTGTCATCGGGCGACGTGGGACAGTCGAAGAACAAAGGTTCACTCATAAGAGGATCCACCATTTACCACCACGATAAGCCAATGTCAGCACCAGCGGGACTTTCCAGGTCCGGTATGCCCATGTCAGTGAGCACCAGCAACAGAGTTGTGTCAGCCAGTCAAGTGATGAAACTTATAGCCAAAAGAAGGGAGCAACAACAAGCAGCAAAGAAGTAAAGGTTTGTTTTGGGAGGGACAGATGTAGCAGCAGAAAACGTGTTTCACGCTGTCTATCTTCGCATCAAAAGGACAACCGTGTGTGCAGCAATGCTCCGATTCTCACCGAGGCTGTCAACCTTTTCGTGCGTTTTGGCCTTGATATTGATTACAGACGGGTGCACTCCGAGAAGACTGCAAAGGTTGGCTCGGATTTCTTCTTTGTGTGGGCTTAACTTTGGCCTTTGCAGGATCAAGGTGGCGTCGAGGTTTCCCAGCTCGTATCCGGCTTCATGCATGCGCTTCACCTGAAGATCTCTACGTTTAAATGGAGGCAAACAGAATGACGAGGGGTTTACCGCTTCTTTCACGAAAACAGAGGAAGCTGCTCCACGCCATCTGGGATCTGTGTCCGGGAAGAGCTGTCCGATATCCGGCAACGAAAGTGCACCTAGGATGGCGTCCACAACGCAGTGTAGCAACACATCACCTGTGCAGTTCAAAGTTTGAGACAACGAAAACAACAACACCCATGGGTTTAAAAGAACAGGATGACAACTCTACCATCGGAGTGAGCTTCGCATCCGCGATCGTGAGGAATGTCTATTCCACCAATCGTGAGGGGCAGTCCGGGTTCCAGCCGATGCAAGTCAAAGCCGTGTCCAACTCGGAAGGGGAGCACAGGTGCACTTATGGAAGCCGTTCTTCCGGTTTCGACTTCCACGGTCGTCGTTGATGCGCAACAAATGGTTCCACGAGCTGCTCTGGAAACTCTCCTGCTCAGCTCAACCCTGCTCGGACTACGAGCGAACGATTCAACGCCATCGTAAAACATGCGCTCGCTAGAATGAATTCACCACCAAGCTCTCGGAAATTCGGGCTTACCCACAAGGCGCTGGTCGAATTTCCTTGTGCTGGAACAGAGACGAAGCCGCCGCCAAGGACGTCCCTTGTTGCATCATGGTCGCCATTCTCCTGCTCTCTTACCTAGAGAGTCGCGATGCAGCTGCCATGGCTTATAAAAGAGGGATTTTTGGAGCATACGACGACGACTGGTTGGAGCACGAGATTCGATCCACGGGGATATTCGATTCCTCGTTTGTTGTTCGACCATCCGCCGGCAACTCGAGGATTTCCGGTTCGTTGTTTTCGATTTCTCATAGTTGATGTTGTTTTTATTTTTTTCTTCTCGCAGAACAAGATACCACTTCTATTCGATACCCGAGGATATTCCATATCCCGTTCGTGTGTTCATGACTGGTCATGGCTATGGCGCTTGCTAGCTGCGCTCCAGCAGTCTCAGGTTCGCTTTCGTCCGTTAAATGTCCTTTCCTTTTGTCATGTGTTGTGTTTCTTCTGCATAGGGAGATCCATCACTGCCAGCGGTAGCATTGCATCTCGGAAGAAAAGGTTCCATTGCATGGCTTCGACTGCAGAGGTTTCTAGCTGGGAAGAATTGTCGGAGAAAGTATCGAGACTGCCGGGATACAATGCAGTGGCAGCAGCTGCCAGGCTCCCAAACGTTCAACAGCGGGATTTTGGTGATACAAGCATCGCACAGGTTGTTTTCTACAGGGACAACTCGTCCTGGTGCCCGTATTGCCAGAGAGTGTGGCTGCAGCTTGAAGAAAAGAGGATTCCTTACAAGGTTGAAAAGATAAACATGAACTGCTATGGACCGAAGCCTGCATGGTATCTCGAGAAGGTGCCTTCTGGACTGCTTCCAGCTCTAGAGCTCAAAGGCCAGCTTTTGACAGAGTCTCTGGACATAATGCTGATACTGGAAGAGGCTTTTCCGGAACGCCATCCTCTTTTGCCACCCAAAGGTTCTCCCAAAGCGAACGCCGTGGACGGCTTGCTGAGACTGGAGCGACTTCTCGCTGGCGCGTGGCTGAGCAGGCTGAGAAGCTTTTGGACGAAACCGGGACAGTTCGAAGGTGCAATGGACGACGTTGATGGCGCTCTTGCGAAGTTCGGTGGTCCATTTTTCCTCGGTGACACGGTAAGCTCTTACACACCGAAGTAGAAGTTTGAAACTGATTATAACGCTGTTTCCTCCACAGTTTTCTTTGGTGGACGCTGTTTATGCTCCTTTCCTAGAGAGAATCGCTGCCAGCATGCCTTACTGGCAAGGAGTTATGATCCGAGGTGAGACTCGGTGGCCTCATCTGCAGGCCTGGTTTGATGCCATGGACGCGAAGCCAAGTTATCAGGCCGTCAAGTCGGATGACTACACTATAACTCACACGTTGGAACCTCAAATAGGAGCTTGCAGAGCACTCCCGGCTGGCGAGGCATACAGAGCCAAAGTTGATGGGAAAGATGGAAGCTGGGATTTGCCACTAAAAGCAGAAGTGACAGCGTGGGGACGAGAGGAGGGAAATGGGAATAAAGCGGAGGCAGCACAGACTCTTGTTGACAACAACGCAGCAGTGGTCGGTTTCGCTCTCCGGGCCCTCAACAGCGATGAAAAGTATCGGGAATCTGTGGATTTGGGATTCCGATGTGTGGCGCAAGCTCTGGTTGACGGAGTTGAAAGTGCAGCTCCTCCTGCCGTTCCTCAGCATTTTTCCAGAGAGGTGGCGAAAGCCGCTGCATATCTGCGAGACAAAGTTGGTGTACCTCGTGATTTGAGCTATCCGGCGGCCAGACAGCTCCGAGCTCATTTGCACTGGCTGGTAAAGGCGCTGGGATCGGAGCTCTACCAGTAGGGAGATTCCATACAAGAAGAGTTTTCCAGGTCTGATACGTTTCGACACTCCCCAAGGCTAAAGAGTTTTCTCTTTGCAGGAGCGCAGAACACGTTGGAAGCTGCCACAATTTTAAGCTCGAGAACCAAAATGTGTAAACTTTTGGAGACAGCTCCCTGATGTCGTCTGGCTCAAATCTCTCTCGCTGGATAGATTAAATCGTCTAAGCAACCGCAGCAGTCACTTCGCAGGATTGGCAGCAGCATGGGAGACTAGAAGAGCGGGAAAGCAAGAGACTTTTTGGAAGTTTGGTGTGAGGTGATTGCAAGGGGATGCGACAAGCAGGCTGGAATCTCATGTTCTCTGGACTGTATGAACTCGGAGCTTGCCAAAGGCTTCCAGGTATGAAATCGAGCCCGGTTGGTGCACAAAGCACTATGCAAGCGACTGTGACCAGCCAACCTCGAATTTAGACTTGCCTCTCCCTTGTAAGTTCGTAGCACAGGACGCTTTCGCTTTCATTTTTGTTTCCTCACTGTTTATTCTCGTCTTTGCCGGTAGCTTCGGTTTAAGTCAATGGCTCAACAGTGGTATGTTTTTGGAATTCATTTTGAGAATGTGATCCGTGCAGGCAGGAGTGCCGAACAGGAAAGTTGTCCAAGCTCAGGAAGAGCGTTGGCGGCCGAGAGGCACGTCTTTTGTACGTGTCTGGCTTCAGGATACGTGATGAGAAGATTCAGCGGATCATGCAGCGTCGACTGTCCCTGTCAAGAAGTAGCTCGTAAGTTACGTTGCCGGTTTTTCTTTCGATTGGCTTGATAATTTGTTAGCTAACAAACATGCCCCTTATCTGGTTCTTTTGATCTCGGATCAATCGATCCAGTGATGGTGGCTGCGGTCAATTTTCTCTAGTTGTTAAGCTACCGATTTCGTGGCTTTACGGCTTTGTCTCGGCGATCTCCATTCGTGCATTCATTTATTTGCAAGGGATGAAGAATGAGAATGATGGTGGTGATAACTTGCAAGCGATCTATCGCTGGGCTACCATTTATCATTGTCAAGGCGGTGAAAGAAAGCGAACGAGAGGGAAGCGACGCTTGTTTGGGCAAGAACATGGCACAAGTATGGATGATCTCTTATCGTGCTAATAAGAAACATAGGTGCGCTGATAAACTGGATTGTGCGATCTAAAAACTATATGACAAAGAAACAAAGATGAAAACTTTGGAAGCACTCCTCCCTCAAGTTGTTAAACAAGCTTCCTTGAAATGTTCCAAGAGCACAAACAAGTCGAGTTAAAGAATAGTAACTCCACGGCACAGGCTTCGAACCCACGACCGTCTTGTCCGCCAGCGAGTAAGGCGGGAAAGGTTTTACCGCCACAAGTTTTTAACCCGGGGTTGAGGTGAAGGAAGCAGCAAGGCTAACTAACAAGGCAATATTTTTCCACCGCATTCAATCTGCCGTTCGTTTATTTAAAGAAAAGCCCGCTAACAAACCGAAAGTATTGTCTGGGAAGGAAAGAATACCTCCATAATGTAGTCGTCTACGTAGTTTTACCTTTTTCTACGTTTTAGCGCAAAGTGAAAAAGGAAGGAGGCGATTTATTTTGATCCTTCTCTCGTGTGTCTAGTCTGTGTTGAGTGTTGGCATCCCTGCGCTTGAGTCGGCGCTTTGCCTGCTCCCCCTGTGCCCTACCCTCCCTTTCCACAGCACGGGCAGCGCCTCGGATTCCTCACGGATGATCGCTTTCCAGCCGCTGGAGGAGGCGCAGCATCGCTAGCGCCAGGGCCAGCGCGGCGACAGCAGCAGCAGCAGTGAGCGCGCCAGCGGCAGCGATCTAATCGCGACGAGGCTATCGGCATTGGATTGGAGCGCGCCCGCGCTTATGATCGTCCCTCTTCTCAGCCTGGGAGAATGTATGAGTAGCAAGGGGCGGGAGCTCGAGGGCTTTGCGAATTCGAGGTAGGGGCAAATTTCGTGATTTCGTGATGACGAGAATTACAGTGGCAATGTTGGTTGTTCGCAGGGTGTGCAATGGATCGCCGGAGCTGGCCTTGGAAGAAAAAGTCCTCGGAATCCAAAACTCACGACCTTCCTTTGGAGTCGTCGACTGTTATCTCCTCACGGAGCCATCAGTACCACGATGAGCAGTACCAGCAGGTCCTCCTTTGTGTGTGATTTCTTCTCCGCGCATTTCTTATCGGTGGTTTGGTTTTCCCCTTCCAGGCGACGAGGAGCTTTCTCGAAAAGCCCGTAGATGATCCCGCTGTTGCTCTCCAGCACTGCCAGGAGAAATCCAGGATCTTGAGTGAGAAATTGTCTCTCGCTCTCACGGAAATCACTTCAAAGGATAACTTGGTCAAGCAGCATGCAAAAGTGGCTGAAGAAGCAGTCTCAGGTAGCTCTCTATTCTTTCTTTTTTCCTTCTTTCCTTCCATCCAGAGTGTAGTCATGTCAAAATTCTCTCGTGGTACCAGGTTGGGAAAAAGCTGAGACCGAGGCGGCCAACTTGAAGAAGCAGCTGGACGCCTCAACGCAGAAAAATGTGTCTTTGGAGAACCGGCTGGCGCACTTAGATGGGGCACTCAAGGAATGCATGCGCGAGCTGAGAAGCGTCCGTGAGGAGCACGAACAAAAGCTACAGGAAACGCTGGTTAAGAAGGCCAAGGAGTGGGAAAAGGTGAGACAGGAAATGGAGGCCAAGCTTGCGGCTGCAAACGACAGGGCTATCGAATCGGAGGCACAGAAGCATGCGCTGAACAGGTCTCTCCAAGAGCGCGCCAAGGCCATCTCCGAGCTAACCGAGGCAAAAGCTCGCGCGGAAGTACAAGCCAATGTAACGCAAGTCCAACGGGAAGAGGTCGAGAAAGCTTGCGCTGCACTCAAGTACGAAGTCCAGGTTCTAACGAAAGAGGTCGAGATACGCAACGACGAGAAGGATTACAACAAGAAGATGGCCGACGTAGTGAGCAAGCAGCAACTGGAAAACGTCAAGAAAATTGCCAAGCTAGAAGCTGAGTGCCAGAGGCTTAGGGGACTAGTACGGAAAAAACTACCAGGTCCGGCTGCTGTGGCGCAGATGAGGCTGGAGGTTGACGGGAGCATTAACTCGAGATCAAAATCCATGGGAGCTAGAGTGCCATCTCCCGTAGCCGCAGCGGATTCTGGAGAGGAGGCTTGGCAGGCTGACAACAAAGAAAACGACGCGCTATCGGGGCGACTGCTGGCTATGGAGGAGGAAACTAAGATGCTGAAAGAGGCCCTGACAAAGAAGAACCAGGAGCTCCAGTCGGCGCGGCTCATGTGTGCGAAAACTGCGAGCAAGCTATCCCTCGTTGAAGAGCAGCTGGAAAGATCACAGGGACCAGCGGAAGCTGGTGGGACGAAAGCGAAGGCTAACAGCAACGGGAATACGTCTGCCGATAGCTGGGCATCTGCTTTAGTAGCTCAGCTGGAACAGTTCAAGAAAGGAAAGGACGGCTCATTGCACTCTGAAAAGCTTTTCGAGTCGTCAAACTTCGATCTCATGGACGATTTCACTGAGATGGAAAGGTTGGCAACGACTTCGTTCGAGAGCACGACGGATTGCTCCGGCAACGTGGACGAGTCGGATGGGGACGCTGAATTCAACAACTGTATCGTGCTGCAAGATGACAACGCCAAGCTCAAGGCCGAGAAGGGAAGCATGGAGCAGGAGCTGAGCTCGGCCAACGAGCGGATCGAGCGGCTCAAGGCGCAGCTGTCCGAGTCCGAGCAGCTCGTGTCAACTTTACGTGTGCAGCTTGCGTCCATGGAAGAGTCCAAGCAACTGGCCGAGAATCAGCTGGCAGCGATGGCTAACGTGAAAGACGAGCTGGAATCGAAAGTCCGGGCTTCGTGCGCAGAGATGGGACATTTACAGGAAAAGATTCTGGCTCTAGAGAACGAGCTCCAAGAGCAACGACAACGGCATGAGCAAGTAATGAGCAGCGTACAATCGCACGTCTCACAGTAAGTGTTCGTTTGCTTTCTCTGAAAATGACTCGCTAATAACTTTGTATCAGGGGAGGAGCTTCCGAAAACTCTGATCCCGGGCGTTTGCAAGTAAGTGAGAGTGACGTCTTTCCTTCCTTCTTTCTCTGATCGAACGAAAGCTTACAAACTTTTTGGGACGCAGGAACGAGAGATTGCGGCAGCCGCTGAAAAGCTGGCCGACTGCCAACGAACTATCATGGCCCTGGGAAAGCAGCTCCACTCGCTCTCGGTTCCGACGGGCTCGTCCTCCAAGGGATCCCTCGATTTTTCCGAGACGTCCATGTCACCAGCGGACGCAAGCCATCATCAGCGTCGGCCGGAGGAGTCTTTCGCTCTAAAGCCCGAAGCAATCCACTCGGAGAGCGATGACGAGGAGCTCCAATGGAAAGTCCAACGCTCGGCCAGTGACATGAGTCGGCTCAGGAGCGTTGCTCGAGAGAACATCCGGAGGCAGGAAATCTACTGGAGCTCTGCCTTGTCGCCGGAGGCTGCGGCATCGTCGCTCGATAGCAGCAACAGCAGCACCACCACCACCAACGGTGAGAAGCAGCAAAGCCAGAGGAAGCTGAGCCAGGATGGAGATTTCTTCGCGTGCTCGCCGGCGTCTGCTTACTCCAAGAACTCGGGATTCAGCAGGTTTTTCCATCGCAGAGCGAGCCTTCACTGAAGCTAGAGGCTGTACGATAGTGGAGTTTTGAAGCTGTGTAAAAAAGATGGTAATAACTTCCCTTCGTTTATCGGAAGACCGTCTTCCTTGCGTAAAGAAAGATTTCTCTTTGCTGCTCCTTCAGTGTACAAAAGAATCGTGTTTGTCTACTGGAGCTTCGAACAGAAATCTGGGAGGTCTAGAACTTGGATGCGAGTGATAGCAGCTGCTGCCTCGCGTTCCGCCGGTGTGTTGTATCCCCAGTTACCTGAAACGAGAGGAAGTTCTTTTCTAGCCAAAGAAATCGAGAAGACATACCAAGGTACAAGTTCCATCTGTCAAGAGCGGGGTCCTTGATCACATTATGAAGTGTGGCCAACCTGTCTTCCACAAAACTGGGAAAGAAAGGTGATAATTTTCATGAGAACAAGGAGAGCATCACGATCTTACTGGAGAATCATTCCCTGGTGCTCTGGACGACTTTGGAGTTGCTTCAATACCTCCACCTTCGGCCTGGAACAAAACCAAAGCTAGATTATAGATAATATAGAAAAGATTTCGAACTTCATACCCAGTGCCAAGACCAAATATTTTGTCTGTAGGAAAATCGACACCAGCTAGCTCTTTAAGCAATGTTGCAGCGAAACGAGCCTGGAAAAAAGCGTCTTGCATTTCTAAAGACTCTTTCTTGGCGCGAGTACCTGCTTTGTAGTAACGATAAAAACTCGAGACGTCGCGAACTTCAAAGAATCAGCTATTCCAGGGTAGAACCTGCAACGCAGAATTTTGTTTAGTCACTGAAGTAGTAGTGCGTGACTCGATTCTTAAAATCATAATATCATACCTGTTTGCACTGATCCAAGTCCCGAGGTCTTTCGAGATCCATTCGTCTCTCACGTTGCCAAAAAGCTCAACCAGCTCGTCTCTACTGGCTTCACCCCATTCCTTCATCAGCACAGGCTTGAGCTTCTCCCAATTCTCCAAGACTCCTTCCACTGTCAATCCATTCACCACCTGTGGATAGATTTTCACTCTGGAGAAACAAAGTAGAGACAGCAACTAGAGTTCTTACCGAGGATTTTCCACGGTGAGGTTCCTTGAGCTCCAGCAACAATCGCACCAGCAAAACATTCTCATAGCCAGTTTCTACAACTGGTCTGACCTGGAAAACGAAAGAGAAGAGAAAAAAGGAAGAATGGCTGCCTGTTTGATTCGAAGGAAACGATCGCCTTACAGTCCGCATGCTGTCGAGAATCCATGCATCCGTCTCAGCGCTCACATTCGCGAAAAGCTCCGGCCATCTCAATTTCGCGGCCTGCAAGAGAAACCACACTTGGAAGCGCAATCTCAAGAGGAGGAGCGTGTCGATCGATCAGGACTTGCGCCTACCTTGAGCGCCGAAATGGAGCTCTCTCCGCAGCTGTCGCAGAGAACGCCGTCAAAATCCAGAGCGTAGAGGTGAGCTCCTTCTGCCATAGCTGACAAAGTAAATAGAAAAATAGGGTTCTTCGTCTAGCTAGGCAATGGCGGAGCATCTCTACGCCTTGGATTTCGACGGTGTGCTATGCGACAGCTGCGGCGAGGCATCGATCGCTGGCCTGGAGGTTTGTAATCATCCGATCGATTGAATGTGTGCTTTTTCGTCGTTGATTCATGTGAAGTTCATCAGGCCGCGAAGCAGCGATGGCCAGAGCATTTCAAGCGCGTCGACGCACAGCGCGAGGCCGAGATTCTCGAGAGAATGCACACGGTAAGATGAATCGACGGGAGTCCATGCATTGAAATTTGGATCGCAGGTAAGACCAGTGGTGGAGACGGGTGACGATTTCTTGCTACTCGCTCGTGTGCTGGCCAAAGTCGAAAATGGAACCTCGGTAAGATTTTATTTTATTTTATTTTATTTTTGTCTTTGTTCGTGCTGTTCTAGAGCAAAGTTCTTTCGTATTCCAATGTAGATTGCGTCTCACCTCGACGAGGAGAACATCCTCGAGTCTTGGACCGAGTCGATAAAGCGATCGTTTATGGAAGAGATTGGAGAAGCACGCCACAAGCAGGAGCTGGAAGATCTTCTGGGAAGCGTGAGGGACGCCTGGATCTCGCGTGATGTACACGGATGGCTCAAGGCTAACAGGTGCTTTCACGTTTTTTCTCCGGCTTGAGATTTCTAACACACGGACTCCAGGTTCTATCCAGGAATCTCGGATGCAATTAAGTTCTCCTCGTCCAAACTGTTTATCGTTACTACGAAGGAGGTATTCATCTATGCAGCTTGTCTTGAGTGATGAATCTCTCTTCCAGGCGAGGTTTGTGACAATGTCACTCAAGGAGCTGGCAGGAGTGGACTTCCCAGAGGAGAATATATATGGACTGGGATCCGGGTATTTTACTGCTTTCTTTCTCAGACGTGTGTTTATATATTTTCTTCCAGTCCTAAGGTGGAGGTATTGAAGAAACTCCAGAACCGGGCAGAGCACCAAGGAATGACACTTCAGTACGTGTGATTTTGTTTCGATTTTACGTGCACTCAACCTTTTTGTTTCGTTGCTCCAGTTTTGTGGAGGACAGGCTTTCAACCTTGTTGAATGTGATCGATGATCGAGTGTTGAATAATTGGAACTTGCACCTTGGTGAGCATGAGAATCACATGTCAATTCCGAGAATAAAGTTTTGCGTCTATCTGTTTGCAGCTAGCTGGGGTTACAACACTCCCACAGAACGGGAGGAAGCTTCAAAAAAACCGCGCATCGAAGTACTGGAATTGGCGGACTTTTGCTCCAAACTGAAATGACTCGGACCGATCTCTGTCGTCTACACTGTTTGGGGAATCGGGCTTGGTGGAGACGACAAAGCTTGCAGCGACTCCAAACTTCGGCTTCTAGCAAACGCAAAGGATCTAGATTACGGGGCACGGAACAGGTTATTTCCAAAGATACGCAAAACCAGCAGCCTTCATCAAGCAGCTTATCAGGGAGGATTTTTCGCGTCTTTCCAAGGTTGGGAGCCGTCTCAAGAATGTGGTGGGTCAGCAGTGACTAATCTTCTTTCGTTTTGCAGAAGCAAAAATGCATCTTTGCTGGCTATGGCCGTGTGTGTGAAGAAGTCAGGGGGGAAGGATTCCACAGCAGGAGCGTTCACCTGGTAACGTCCATGAAGCAGCAATACCTAATCGCGATGCCAGCAACTGTCGCTTCGCTCCAATTGGCTGCTCTCCATCGACTACGGCCCCGATTCTTCACGGGAATCTCTGTCAAAGAGGCATTTTTTGGTGGCCGGAGAGCACGAAGAGATGCGGCTCTAGCGGTTCGTGCGACGAAGAAGAGCAGCAGCGGGGACAACAATGGTTTCAATGGCAACGGGAAGAAAGTCCCTCGTTTCGGCACGCCATTTCCAGATGGAAACTCGGAGATTGACAGCCCCGTGCCATGGGACCAACTTCCTATCAACGAGTTCAACAGCTTACAGGAATCCCAGTACTTCTCCTGGGCCGTGGAGAGCGTCTGGCTTTACTCGATGAAGATTGGTGGGATTGCTGCGTGCTGCACCGTGTTCTTGGGATGGCCGGTCGCGTCACTCAGCGTGAGTCCAGAGTCCGACTTGCTCAAGTGCACACTCGGGGCTTTGAGTGGGGGTCTCATGGGCGCAACGTTAGCAGCGTTACGACTCTACCTTGGCTGGGCACACATTGGAGACCGTCTGTTCAGTGTTACAGTCGAGTGTAAGTACTGCCTAGCGACTCTTGTCTTTGTTTCTCTAAAACACAATCGTTATTTTCTGCAGACGAGGAGACTGGGTGGTACGACGGCCAGGTACGTAAAATGAGATTTTCGGCGCAGACCTAGAGAGACTGAGACAGCTCGTTATTTTCTAGACTTGGATCAAACCCCCGGAAGTTTTAGCTCGCGATCGGCTGGTTGGCGCTTACACGGTACGAAAAACAGGGAAAAAAAAACAGTTTTTTTAAGCTCGGCTCAAATGGACACCTTCGTTTTCGTTCCAGGTGAAGCCAGCTCTCAGCAGGGTGAGAGTGACGCTCATTGGATTGGCAGTCTCGCTCTCCATCTGCGCCGCATTACTCTTCTCCATCCCGGAGACCAGATCCAGCTTGCTGCTACAGAAGATCCAGACGCAGCCCCCTCCTCCGCGCTCCTCCATCAAAGGCTACAGTGAAAAGTCCGCGAGAACGTACGAGCCAAGCGCGTTCGTGGGTCCGGACGAGGAATTTACGAGACCTCCCGGAGTTGAAGATAATGGTGAAGTTCTTCCGGATTTATGTACTTGACTCTTGAGAGAGCGATGAAAACAAATTTAGGCATACCGGAGATTCTCACCTTAAAATGGGCACGTGCAAAATCCCAGTGTGTTAGTTTGGGATGGATAGCTATGGAAGCAGTGGTGGTGTTGTGTAGAATGAATTTGGGGCGCAAGCACACTTGAGAGATTGATACTTGATAGATTGATAGCTCGCAAGAACATTTGGTAGACTGCTAGCCAGAGATTTCAATCCAAATGGAGATAGACTTTTGCTCGAGGTGGGATGGCCCGATGCAAATTGGGACGCGAGCGAGGGAGGAGGATCTAGTCGGCGATGGTGGCGAATTGGATCTCTGGACGTTGAGCAACAACAAGCGGCAAAAGACCACCCATGGCGAGGAAGAAGATCACGAGCAAGGGAGGCGCACGGTGCTGCACGACATTCCGGGCTCTATCTTGGCGGCGATAATCGCTCTGGTACCCGACACACGCAGCCGCAACGCAGCGTCACTCGTGTGCAAGGAGTGGCACGCAATGGAGCGCGCAACGCGACGCCGGCTGTGCCTCCGCGGCAGCTCCGCCCAGCTCCACATGCTGCCTACCACCTTCCATGCCGTGCGGCACCTCGACGTCTCCAACGTCTCGCCCTGGGGCACCACGCTGTACGCCGCCCACTCGGCGGTGTGCGGCCAGCTTACCGCGCGGTGGCTCAACCGGGCCTTCCCCAGCGTCGTGGATCTCACCGTCTACGCCCGCGATGGTACGGACATCCAGCTCGTGGCCGCCTCCTGGCCCGACCTCGAGACCGTACGCCTGGTTCGATGGCACCAGCGCCCCACCGGCGGCGGCGGCGATGGCGGCGATGGCGGCGACGCTGCCATGGAGCTCCGCGGCCTCCTCTCTTCGTGCCCCCGCCTCACCCATCTCGACCTCTCGCGCTTCTACTGCTGGGCCGAGGACATCGCGCCCGCGCTCCAGGCCGGCCCATCCGCCAACCTCCGCGTCCTCAACCTCCTCAAGCTCTCGCCCGAAGGATTCAAGGCCGCGGAGCTCCTCGCCATCGCCGCTGCGTGTGGGATCAACCTCGAGGAGCTCTACGCGCTGTGCGAGTTCGATCCGCGGTTCCTCGACTGCTTGAGCGACGAGTGCCTGATCCAGGTCGCCGACTACTGCCCGCGCCTCCGCGTGCTCCACCTCGTAGATTCCACGCAGTTCTCCGCCAGCCGCGATCCCGCCAGCGATGATCCGGTGTTTAGCGCCGCCGCGCTCGACGCCAGCGTCACGGTCCGGGGGCTGGAATCCCTGTTCCAGGCGCTGCCGCTGCTGGAAGATCTCGCGCTGCTGCTAGGCCACAAGGTAAGAGACTCCGCCCCGGCATTCGAGGCCCTGGCCAAGAGCTCCAAGAGCGTCCACGCGCTCCACCTCGGCCACTTCCAGGGCTTGTGCTCGGGCAGCAATGGGATCGCCCGCTGTGGCGCCGCCGGGCTGCGGACCCTCCAGCTCCGGAGCTGTGACGATCTCACGGACGCCGCGCTGGGCGCCATCGCCAGCGCCAGCCCACAGATCTCCTGGCTGGGCCTCCGCCGCTGCCCGCTCGTCACCCCGGCTGGCCTCTCCTCTTGCGTCTCGATTCTCCGCCGGACTCTCACCCGCGTGGAGATCGAGTGCTGCCCGACGCTGTCCACGCGCAATCTCCTCCGCGCGCTAGCTCCGGTGCGATCCACGCTCCAGCACCTCCACGTCGATTGCGTGTGGGATCAGGACCTGGAAGAAGAAGAACAAGGAGGGGCTGAGCAAGCGCAAGAGCAAGATCAAGTGCTGGATCTCTTCGGAAATCTCGCCTGGAAGAAGCTCCACCACCTCTCGCTGTGGATCTCGGCAGCGCATCTCATCAGCCCGCTCGTCCAGATGAATCTCATCTCCCACTGCCCGCTCCTCCGCGAGCTCAGCATCCGGGTGGAGGGCGACTGCCGCCTCTTCGCCAAGCCGCAAGCTCGCGAGTTTGGGCTGCGCTCCTTCGCGCGCTTCCCATCGCTGGCGAGCCTCCGCCTGGATCTCAGCGAGGCGGTGGGCTACGCGCTCAGCGCCCCCGGCGGCAACCGCGATCTCAGCATCTGGGAGCGCTTCTACCTCCAGGGGATCCAGTCACTGCCCGGCCTCCAGGAGCTCGACTACTTCCCTCCCTCGGACAAGGACGTGAACTATCGCGGGATGACGCTGCCGGGAGTGGGACTGATCTCGCAGTGCCATGGTCTCCGCAAGCTCTTCGTGCATGGCACCGCGTACGAGCACCTCTTCATGATGCTGCTCAAGATCTATAACTTGCGCGACGTCCAGCTCCGCGCGGACTACTTCCCGGCCCCGGATATGGAGACGTCCACCGAGATGAGAGCCGAGTCGTGCAAGCGGTTTGAGACTCTACTCGAGAAGCGTGGCTTCCCCGACTAGAAATCTGGAAGAAAGCAAGATAAGTTTGTGACATCGATCGTATCGTACCGTACCAGCCAGCTATCAAGATGTTCGCGACGAACTCGGATCGATCAACCGAAGCGAGATCGAAAAGGTGGCAATGCGATCGTGGAAAATAAGCCTTTTCATCCGTTCCTCCGTTCTGGGGAGTTTGATTAGTGTCGTATCAGACGATGTTCTGGAAGGCCACAAAAAGAGTGACATGACCGACGTACAGAGAGTGATATTATAGAGCGGGGCCAGCCCTTTACCTCAGTGGGAGCAGTGAATAAAGTAGACTCTTCTCGCGAGAAAAAGCAAGATGAAACAGTCAGCAGCGAGTCCATTAGAAGAATTCCGAGATTATTTTCACCTTTGGAGTCGATTCTTTTCGCCTTCTCGTTGACAAAATATCAAAGTGAGTCAGGCCGCACAACAAAGGAAAAGAAAAATCGCTCACGTTTAGAAAGAGTGCACCAGATCGTTGCAGCGGGAGAGTGACGAAAATCTCTGCAGGATTTTCGATCCTGTAGCGGAATAAAGAAAGAAAAAAAGGTAAAAAGGAAGTGTGTACCTCAAGATAGAAATTCCCGGCCGCTGAGAAAAAAATCCATGTAGCTCCAGCCTGGTCTCTTCTTGATTCCTCTCTGGCTCATGATCCTCCTCACGTTTGTCGCATCGTCCCAGTTCCCAGCAGCAGCATGGGTGTTCGACAGAAGCAGATAAGCCGACGCATTCTCCGGATCCAGAGAAAACACTCGCTCGGCAGCAACAGCTCCTCGTCTCGAGTCTCCGATGCTCCGGCATGCGCTCAGCAAGATCATCCATGCAACCACGTCCGGGTCGAAAGGCATGGCGACGATCAGCTCTTCCGCTTGCTCGAGCTGCCCAGCTCTGCCGAGAAGCCCGATCATGCAAAGGTAGAGATCGTAAGGTGGAACGATGGCATAGTCCTCCTGTGCTGAGGTGAAGAAAAACCACGCATCACTAAGCATTCCTCCATGGCTGCAAGCGCACAAAACACTTACGACGACGATCCAGTCCGGAACCAAGCCTCCGAGGTTCAAGTTTTGGAAGAGCTCGATGGCACCAGCCGCACAGCCGTTTTGCGCGAAAGCCACGATGGTGGCCGTCCAGGAACCTATATCGTGCCTCGGCATTTTCTCGAGCATCGTCCTCGCCTCCATCAAAAGGCCACACTTTCCATACATGTTGATCAGAGCCGTGCCAACTGAGGTCTCCGAGACAACCCCGCCTTGGACGATGCTTGCGTGGATAAGTTTGCCTTCTCGAGGTGCCACAAGGCTTGAACATGCCTGTAAAACGCTGGTGTAGGAGACCTTGTCCGCTCGGAAACCTTCCAGATCCATCAGCTTGAACAGCCGAAGAGCAATTTCTGCGTGACCACTTTCAGCATAGGTTGCGATCATGGAAGTCCATGAAACTGTATCTTGCTCTGGCATTGAATCAAACACCTTCCTCGCGTTGTCCAATTCTTCGCTCCGCGCATAGCTTGTGATCATTGTCGTCCAAGCAACAAGATTACGCTGAGGCATTTTCTCGAACACGCACCGAGCAGCTTGCAGCTCCCCGTTGAGAGAGTAGACGCTGAGCATTGCGTTCCAAGAGACGATGTTTGGTCGTGGAATCCGGCTAAACATCCTCCACGACTCTTGGAGCTGTCCGTTCTGGCCGTAAGCCACCACCATCGCAGTCCAGGAGATCACATCTCTCTCCTTCATCTCCAAGAACAAGTTTTCGGCCTCTTCAATGTTGCTGCTTTGAGAGTAAGTTTGCACCATGGCGTTCCACGAAACCAAGTTCCTCTTCGGCATTCTGTCGAACACACTCCTCGCTTCATCCAGAGCCCGGTTCTGAGCATAAGCCACAATCATCGCGTTCCAAGACATGACGTCGTGCTGAGTGACACTGTCAAAGATTTCTTTTGCTTCTTCGGCATCGCCACCTTCAGCATACGCCAGCAGCATTGCAGTGCACGAAGCAACGCTGTGCTCGGGCATGTCTTCAAAGATTTCTCTCGCAGCATCGATCTTCCCCGACTGAGCGTAAGAGGTGACCATCGCGATCCAGGAAGCTCTATCCCACTCTGCCATCCGATCAAACACTCCTTTCGTTTCTTCCAGGCTTCCGCGAGCCGAGGAAGACTGAAGCACCAAGTTCCAAGATATCAAATCCTTCACTGGCAGTCTGTGAAAAAAATCCCAGGCCTCTCCATGATGCGCGTAGCCTTGCAGCATCGAATTGCAAGTAACCAAGTTCCACCCCGGCATCCCCTCAAACACTCTTCTGGCATCTTTCAACATTCCAGCCGCGGCATGAGCCGTCACGAGAGCGTTCCACGGAACTAGATTCTTCTCCGGCATCTCATCGAAGACGCGCCTCGCATCGACCAAGAATCCATCCTGGCTGTAGATTCCTATCATGGCGGTACAGGAAACCATATCCCTCTGAGGCATTTTCTGGAATACGATCTTGGATCTATCCAAATGCCCGTTCTCGGCATACGCTCCACACAAGAGCGTCCACGAGAAGACATTCTTCCTGTGGATCCTTGCAAATGCCGCAAGCGATTTCTCCACCTGGCCGCAGCTCCCATACATCCGGACGAGCAAATTTCCCAAAATCGTTCCGCGATCCATCCCCGTCGCGGCAAAATGCGCGTGGAGCTTCCTGCCTTCGGCAAGATCCCTGGCATCACCGAGGTGCCGCAGCCAGGAAACGAGGAGATGCGATCCATCGGCGGCTCCATCGCTGATCCTCCCGCGCATCCACACATTAGGGCGAGTGGCAGTGTGGGTTTTAGTGTGGTCTAGGTTAGGGTTTTTGTGCGCGGCAAGAACTCCCAGTGTAGAAGGCGGCTTTGCGAGCGAGGAGACGCCGCCGAGATGAAGCTCGTGAGGTACGTCAGCGCATCTCCATCGCCTCTCCTCTTTCTCTTCCACAGGGTTTAGGGTTCTCGCGCACTGACAGTCTGATTTCTCGCTTCTCCCAGATTTCTGATGAAGCTAAACAACGAGACGGTATCGATCGAGCTCAAGAATGGGACTATTGTGAATGGAACAATCACAGGTGTGATGTCTCTAGGCTAGTTTCTAGCGATTGTTTTCTCTGATAAGTTTCCCTTTTCCTCTGGTGTGTAGGCGTGGATATCAGCATGAACACCCATCTCAAGGCCGTGAAGCTGGTGTTGAAAGGGAAGAACCCCGTCACAATGGATCATCTCAGCATCCGAGGGAACAACATCCGCTACTACATTCTACCCGACAGCTTGAATCTCGAGACGCTGCTCGTGGACGATACGCCCAGAGTGAAGCAGAAGAAACCAGCGGCGGGTATGATCATCCTTGTTCTTCGTGCTTGCTTCTAAAATTTGTGCTGCTTTTCTTCCTTCCAGGCAAACCGGCTGGCCGAGGACGGGGCCGAGGTCGGGGCCGGGGCCGAGGCCGAGGCCGATAGGAGTCGACCGGAGTGTATGATATTTTGTGAAAGCAAGAAGCCGCCAGCCTCCCAGTTAACCGGAAGAAGAAAAAAAAATGGTAGTCCCTCGAGGTTGTATCTTTCCTTTCCATGTCAACTCCTTTCGTTCACCATCAATAGTTGCAAGAGTGCTCCAGCCTTGGACTTTGCCCGCTGCGTTCCGGCCGAGAGCAAGCTACACAGCGCCGAGACGCACACATCGAACTCGATGAGCTTCTCGACGACGGCGTCGCCGCCCGTTTGGCACAGCGCGAGCAGCGCGGCGCTGGCGTGCTCCCGGCACCGCGACGACTCCCCGGGCTCGAGGAGCTCCACCAAGAGGGCCAGGATCTTGGGCTTGCTCAGCGCCGCCACGCCCTCGTCGCAGGAGGCGAGCTGCGTGAGCAGCGCGAGAGCGTCGGCGGCGGCGTTGTCGACGTTGCCACTGTCGTCCCTCTTTGGGATTCTAACCCTACGCTCCACCATGGCCAGCAAGATCTCGAGAGTACCTTTGCGGATGATCCTCGACTTGTTTAGCGGCGAGAGGGAGAGGTGGAAGAGGGCCTTGATCGCGTCCTTCCTCGACCGCGGCGACTCGTGCTGGAGGAGCTCCAGCAGCGCCGTGATCACACCCTCCTTCTCGCCGATTGGATTCCTGTACTCCTCGACCATGAGCACGCTGAAGAGCGTCGTGGCGGCGTTCTGCCGCGATTCCTCCCGCGCGCCGCAGCGCACCGTGTCGGCGATGCGATCGATCGCGCCGCGCGTCTCCACGATGCGCCCCTTGTTGGGGTGCGCGATGGAGGTGTTGAGGAGGCAAGTGATGGCGTCCTCTTGCACGGCCGGGTCGGGCGAGGAGAGGAGGTGGACGAGATGGGGGATTGCGCCCGCGTCGCCGATGCATAGCCTGTGATCGTCGTCGCGCTTGGATAGAATTCGCAGCGTGTGTACCATGTCCTTCTGATCACTCAAAGAGCCCATCACCATGCTCGTCACTAGCGCATCCACCCGGATCATCAACGAATCTAGCGGTTCCATATCCATAGCCGCCGCTAAAAAAGAGCAGCACCCTCCTTCCTCTTGCTTGCTTTTCGTAACAACGTGTCCGTACGAGAAACTGGCATGTGGTCACTTTCCCGTAGGACGCACGGCCGCTTGAATGGATCAAAAGAAAACTTCATCTAAAATGGTGGCTCGCAGCGAACCTGGGAGACGCGATCTCCTGTTTTTGCAACGAAATTTTCACAGCCTTCCTTCGGCCCGAAGGCCCGAGCGATCTTCCTGCGCTAGTAGATTTTGTAGTACTGCGATCGGGATGCGCTACGCCTGGCGCAGCAGCCAACCGAGTAGACGACAATCTGCAAGAGAACAGCGTGAGCCATCGATGACGTAAGGAATAGAATCGCATTTCTTCTTCTCATTTTTTTCCCCGGTACCAGGATGACGAAGAGGACAACGTTGAAGGTTGACATGCGGCGCCATTTCTTCTTTAAGTACTCCGCCACTCCAGCTCTTTTTCAAGCAAGAAAACAATCCAACCATAAGACGACAGGCGACTTCACACACAAAGTAGGTAGCGGATAATGCTTACTTGCAAGAATCGCAGTTGTAGCATTTGGTCTCGCGGTCGTTCTTATACGTTCTGCAGTCCTTGTTCGAGCTTCGTATCCGAGATGTGAGGTCGTAGAACGTTGAGTTCTTCATCGCAAAGCCACACCTGCAAAACAAGAGATTAGTCCTGGAATTATGGAGTTTTCTCTCAACTCAGATGGTGGCCTGCAGCAGCCTGACTCGATCGAGCTCAGCTTGCCGTTCCTCATGCTCCTGATGGTCTGACAACATAAAATCACGGAGAATTGTTCAAGAGAAAACGAATAAATGCTTACATACATGATACTTCTTGGGGAGCTCGTTGCATAAGCTAGTTTGCACAAAACAGCTCTTGAGATGCTTCCACCTCGCCGGGTCATTTGTCTGACAAAATAAATTGATAAAGTTCGTCACAAGGAAAAGAGTTTTAAACCTGTTTCTGGATCCAGTGGGAATAGTCTCCGAGCCTGTACTCCTTGAATCTGGAAACGACAATTCAAGCATGACATGTCCTTATTCTGACTACTTGAAAAGTAAAATCTCTTACGCTTGACCACTGATAGCATGTCCAGCGCCTTTGCTTGTCACAACGAACCTGGAGGAACAGCAAGCTTGATTATCAAGCTCAATCAGCATTTGCAACTTACGCAAAAACAGTGAAAACGGCAACTCCAGCGATCAGGAGGAACAAAACAGTCAGGTACTGTTGCAATGTCAAGGAGAAAAGAAATTGAAGATAGAAAAAGAAAAGGAAGGATACAGTCCACAAGAGGCAAACGTTGTCCCTCCAAGCTCCAACACAGCCAACGAGTGAGCTGTAACACCCAGGAAGAACATTAATTCGCACATTTATTCCATGGCTATTCCATGAGGAAAAGGTCTTACAGGATCAAAGAGAACGCTCCAATGACGAGAACAGGAGCCGTGAAAAACTTCTCGCAATCCCCATGCTTGGCAGCCAGGAAAATCCCGAAAGACAAAATCGCCAGTGACGCAATCTGTGACATCAGATCGAAAATACTTCCCAATGCCGATCGCGCCACATACCAGAGTGATCAAGTTTATCCAAGTGATCACGAAGGAGCTGATCCGATACCGTCCCATTGTCGAATCCACTGCGCTTGCAAGAAAGAAAAGATTCTCTGCATCGATTCACGGCGCCAGGATTCACAAACCTGATCGATCGACCGCGCCGTGATCTCACATTCGTGACCGGGAACCCTAGAAGCACGACGGGCGAACGAAAAAGCTCCCAGGAATGGTACTAGCTCGCTACCTAGAAGTTAAAACACTGCATGGGTAATCACGCATCTGGATTGAAAACCTGTCAGTAAATGACACGTGTCTGCTAGCGAGTGGACTAAACCTAAGCGGGAAAATATTTGAAAAGTTCCGCGTTACCTCTGACAGTGACTGCTGCCCTAGAACGTACGAAGGAGAAAGTTACTTCCATGATTTACCGGGGTCATCGATCCAAAGATATTCCAGCCCTAAGATGCCTGTTCCAGGATCGTTGGAGAGGTCTTTCAGTGTAGCGTACACAATCCACAAGGGGCGGCAGCGGCATCAGCGTGAATCCCGCAGGAAATCGTCCATCCAATGCCAGCTGAATCCCCAGCCAGAGCAGCAGAGATCTGTGAGTCCAATTCCTCTCAAAGAATGCTTAGATTTGACGACAACAAGAAGGGCGGCGCTAGCTGCGCCACTCGTCGCGACGGCAGTGGCAACAGTCGCCAATCCAGCAAGAGCTTTGATCCAGACGGGCCTGGAGAGGGATTCGACGAGGCAATCCCAGAATGCGGTCGACAGGTTGCAAAGTAGGGTTTCTACATTCCAGCTCGGGAATGGGATGAAATGGATCGTCCTGGAGCGTCACAATGCTCCAATTGTCGCTTGCCACACCTATGCCGACGTTGGAGCGGCGGATGAATCCACTGGAATGACTGGGATTGCTCATCTTCTCGAGCATCTAGCATTCAAGGGGACGAGGCTGATTGGAAGCCGAGATTTCGAGCGTGAATCGGAAGCACTGGATCAGCTGGACGAGATCTTTTACGCTCTCAGGGATGCCAAGGTGGCCAAAAATTCCAAGCTCGTGGCGAAGCTGGTGGAAGAATTTACAAGAGCTCAAGAACAAGCAGCAAAGTTCTCTGCCGCCAGCCAGTATGGGTCTTTGATCGAGAGGCAAGGCGGAGTGGGCCTCAACGCTCAGACCTCGCAGGACTCCACCGAGTATTTCGTTTCTCTGCCAGCCAACAAGCTGGAGCTCTGGATGGCGCTCGAGAGTGGACGATTCATGGCGCCGGTTTTCAGAGATTTGTACGCCGAGAAGGAAGTCGTGAAGGAAGAGAGGCGCCTGAGAGTGGAGAATTCTCCGTATGGTCGCTTCACCGAGGCATTCACCGAGGCCGCATTCCCAGGCCAAGCTTACGGCCGGCCCATCATCGGCTACCCGAGTGACTTTGAGAAGATCGGCCGGAGAGAAGTGACCGACTTCTTCACCAAAAACTACACTCCTTGCAAGCTCACTTGTGCCGTGGTTGGCGACGTGAATCCAGTCGAGGTTGAGAAGCTAGCCACTCGCTTCTTCGGCAGCTGGAAAACTCCTTGCGCATCACCAACGTCCTCGTCACCGAGAAGTTATTCCGAGCTCTGGAGGTCCCAAGATGGTTGGGACGATTTTGCTGCTTCCAAGCCTCCTCCGGGAGAGATCTTGAGGATGCCTTCGCCGGCACAGCCTCTCTACATGGAAGGCTACTACAGGCCAGCTTCGTGGTCTTCGGATGATCCAGTTCTCTCGGTGATCAGCGACGTCCTCGCCGGCGGCCGAGTCTCCAGGCTCTACAAACGGCTCATCGCTCCCAGCAGGGTCCTCTCGGCGGAGTGCCTCTCGAGCTTTCCAGGCGACAAGTTCCCGTGCTTGATGATGCTCTATGCTTCTCCAACGCCCGGTTCGAGCAGCACCGAGAAGCTAGCCGGCCTCGTTCACGACCAGCTCCAGGACCTGGTTCGCCAAGGGGTCGAGGAGGGCGAGCTGGTTCCAATCCGGAAGTCGACGCGAGCGAGCTTGCTGGAAGCGCTGGGAAGCAATTCCTCCATGGCGAGGATTCTCAGCACTTACGAAGCTACAGCGGGGTCTTGGAACCGTGTTCTTGAGGAAACTCGAGAGATCGAGTCGGTCACCAGGGACGACGTTGTCCGAGTCGCGAGCAAGCTCTTCACTCCCTCGAATCGTATTGCTGGAAGCACACGGCCTGTTTAGTGAAAGAATTTAGTGCTAAACCTTTAAACCCTTGGAAATTTAGGGTTCTTCCGCGGATGGGCGAGGGAAAGAGACGACGCAAGCCGCGACAGCGGCAGCCGCAGCTCGCCGGTGATCCTGTCGGCCATGCTCTTGGACCGATGCCATCGCGGTAAGGAGAGAGCGCTGAAATCCCGGCTGAAACATTTTTCTCTTAGAGGCCAGATCGATGCCGAGACGCAGAAATATTTTTCCGAGGTCTTGGCGCTGCTGGAAACGATTGCCGATGACAAGGAGAGGGAGGCATTGTGCGCCAGCGCTCTGGAAGAGGCCCGCGGCAAGGAATTGCGGCTCGCCTCGCATCCTTCTTGCGGTAGAGCGCTTGAGAAGCTCATCCAGTCCTTCGATGCTGCTCGGTTGCTATCGTTTCTCGGGCAGTGCACGGCAGATTTCGCGAGCATGGCAATGGATCCCTCGGCTTCTCACGTTGCTGAGATGATGCTTGGGAGCTTGTCCGAGATTTTGCAGCAAAATGGTGGAGATGCGGGACTGATTTCCTCGATCGAGAGTGCGGTGGCCAGGATCTCCGAGGTACTTCCATGCGTTATTGTGTTCTTTCTACATCGTTCTCATTATAGGTACTGCAAGGAAGTGCTCTTGAGGTTATGGGAAACAAATATGGCTCGCATGTCTTGCGAAAGTTCACTCTTCTTGCAGCCGGATTAGTGGAAACAGAGGGAAAAGATGGCTTGTCGAGGAAACTAGGACGAATGGATTCCATGGCGAAAACATGCGAATGCATCCATGCAGGCTTCCCGAGAATTCTCAAGCAACTTACCAGTGAGATTCTAGTAGCATGCAAAAGCTCAATGTCTGAGAGAAGGATGGACCAATTTTCGAGTCTCGTATTTCAGGTGAGAACAACTTTGCATATTATTTTTTTGAGCTCTGTTATAAGCTATGTTATGCAGACCATTCTCAAGGCGCTCCATGGAACTGGAAGTGATACGTCTTCAGCCATAGCAACACTCTTAGGTTTTGATCAAACAGAAATGATTTCGCCTAAAGTGTTGGAACGCATTTTGGAGTTGATGGAGAATCAAAACGGTAGTCATTTGATGGAGGTAAATTTGTCAGAGTTTAAAGAAGCATCAGACTTTATTGTTTTGTTGTCCAGATAAAAACTTTAACTATTTAAGTGTGTGCTGTTATGCAGGTCATACTACAGGTGGCATCTAACGAGGTGTACGCAAAATTGCTTGAAGAAATCTTCAAAGGAAATTTGAAGCGGCTAGCAACGCACCAATTTTCGAATTTTGCTCTACAAACGTTGATTGCCTTTGCACGCCAAGAAGATCAGGTGCATAAGTTTTACTTGTGTTATCTTTTATTGAAACTATAATTTTGTTGCAGGTGAGCCTCTTCTTGGACGAGTTAGGAAAGGATTTTACCGAGTTAATAAAGAAGAAAAGGGCTGGTGTCATTGTGAGCTTGCTGGGAGTATGTAGCCGTATGAGTACCAGCCAGCATGAGGCACGTAAACACACTTATGAAACTTTCTAACATTTTTGGCTTTAAATTTGTAGATAAGCCGATTGGTTGCTACTGTCATCTGTCCGAAATGTGCCTCTCGTGATACTCTTGTCCTGCGCTTGCTTCACTTAGAAGGACACGACTCGGATGGGAAGTCAGGAAGGAAAATGTCCATTCTGGGATGCGTAATGCTACAGATTTTGTTCACTTTTTCTCAGGTTTAATGATGTTTATATGTGCATATCCTTAACCATGTATAGTTCTTTGTGTAGGACTGCAGTCAGCAATACTACAAAAGCTTCTCAGTACTTGAAATGACACAGATTCTGGAAGCCATAAAAGATAAAGCTGGATGCCACGTTGTGGAAGCGTTTCTCAAATCTCCTGCATCGCCAAAACAAAAGCACGCTGTGATAGAGAGGTACGGTAATTCTCTAAAAAAAATCGGAACTAATTCTATGTTACATAGATTGAAAGATCATTTTGCAGTGCTGGCCACGGATACAAAGGCTCACTACATCGTAACAAAGTGCTTCGAGGCAGCAAATCTCAAGCTCAAAGAATCCATTGTAATGGAGCTGATTGGCGTGCAAAATGATCTCTCAAAGTCCAGGCACGGTCCCTACATTCTGGGCAGGTTAAACGTTGCGAAGTAAGTTGCCCAATATAGACTCTAGATAGTTTCATCTTTTGCCTTTCCGTGTAGATATGAGAAGGCTCCAGACAAATGGAGACAATCTCAGCAAACGAGCCATGCTCACAAGGAAGACTACGAAAAGCTCTTCAAACGCGAGCAACCTGAGCATCATGGTGCCCCGAGAAGAAAGAAGCAGAAGTATCAGTGAAAGGAATTAGAAATCTAGTGTTTTTATGGGGACAATGTAAAATCAAGAGCTCGCGATCTTTTGGAAAGCGTGGGCCAAGAACAGTGGTGGAGTTGGAAGGATCTTCAAGCCGTGGGGCTTCTCTTTTCTTTTATTTTGATCATTCTCTAAATACGTGAAGTTACATGTGATCAATTTTTTGAATATTGTAGCTGCAGTCTACTGTCACCTTTAGAGTTTTGTAGTACAATTATACAGTTACGGTCACCTTTACAATTTGTAGTTTGTTCAGTTTTGCTCAGTACAATTATAGTTACGGTCACCTTTACAATTTTGTAGTTTTGTTCAATTGCCAGTCTATACGGTTCTTTACAATTTTGTAACTTTTTTCAGTACAATTACACCTGTGACCGTGAGCGAGACATTTGAACAAAAGCTTCTACTTTGCTACTCTTGGATATAAACGTCCCCAAGTTTCCATAACCATGCTCAGCACAAGTTCTTTCTCCATCCATCGAGAGTCGCAGCAGCAGTCCCACTTCATAAGATGGCCTTCGACGAACTTCGACGTGGTTACTATGCATTGCGGAAAGCAATAGCACCACCACCACCGCTCAAATTGTGGAACGGGAACTGGCCTCACAAATCGGACCTCCTGGGTGACGAGGAAGGGAACAGTGGATTCCTCCTCACCATGGGATCCACTATAACATGACGATCTTTTGCAACATAATAGATTGCATTTTCTGTGCAAGGCTATTTTTCAATGCAAATTTTGTAGTAATCCTTGCAACATCAAATACATTTGCAAAACCTCTTCATGCACATAATATAGTGTTGTAAGTTGCATATAACACTATAAATTTCTATAAAAATACCAATCTGAATATATACAGTGACACCTTACGATTTTGTATTCTTCCATCGCTTGCATCAAAGAGGTCCCAATCCTGTACTCATCTGATTCCCTTCAAGATAGAAATTTTGTTACGCTACTCTTGCATATAAAGCGTTTCCACAACCAGTATTGAGCACACACTAGTCTTTCTTCTCTCTTAGCATCGGGTTCTTGATCAATCCATCCATCCATCAATATGGCGAGCTCCATGAGTGATCTAGTTCCCGCGCAGCGCGTTTCCTCTCCCACCACTAACGATTATGTCTATCCTGCACTTCCCAAAGCTCTTGAGGGTGTCAACTTCGATCTTACGTCGAGCTTGAAGGACAACAAGCTCCAAAAGCCTCCGCCCGACCATCTGCAAGCCCGCAAGGAGGCCCTTAACAAGTCGCTCGACTATCTCAAGCAGCAGCAGTCCCATTTCATGGGCTTCCAGGCCAACCAGAAGATGAGCTTCGACGAACTGAATGACTTCCTCAACGTGCACGTAAGTAGATAGATCATGGTCATTGTTATCAAATGTTTTTTGTGTGTGTTACTTCGATCCCAGCTGAACAACATTGGGGACCCATTTGTCGAGGGCAATTGCACCACCAACACCAAGTTCATGGAGCGCGCCGTGCTCGACTACTACGCATCGCTGTGGAACGCGAACTGGCCTCATAAGTCTTCCCTCCTGGGTGATGAGGAAGGTAACAGCTACTGGGGATTCCTCCTCACCATGGGATCCACCGAAGGCAACATGTACGCTCTGTGGAATGCCCGGGACTACCTCGGTGGCAAAATCCTCCTCATGGAATCCGGCGGAGACACAAAGAAGGCGGCGGCTGCGCGGCTTGTCTATCGCCAAGCAGCCGTGCCTCCAAATGCCAAGCCCGTCCCGAGCCAGGCAAGGAGCGCAGCTCCATTCCCAGAATGCTGCGACGAGTTTTGTGAGAACTACTTCTCGCCGGTTGCGTTCTATTCGGAGGACACGCACTACTCGTTCACAAAGGCGACCCGGCTCATCGGCATCCCCACTTTCGGAGTGGTGGGCGAGGAGAAGTACCCCGGGATGTGCCCGATCACCGAAGACGGGAAGTGGCCGGACGAGGTCCCCTCGCACGAGGAGGGCCCCGAGGATGGAACCATCCGCACCGAGTCTCTCGCGGAGCTAGTGCTCTTCTTTGCACGGAGGGGCCACCCCATCTTCGTCAACCTCAACTACGGCACCACTTTCAAGGGCGCCTATGATAGCGTCGTCAAAGCCATGGCCGCGCTCATGCCCATCTTCCAGTTCTACGGCCACGACAAGCGGGTCATCGACGCCGGCGGGGAGGAGAGTGTACGGACGGGATTTTGGATCCACGTCGATGGCGCACTCGGTGCTGCTTACATTCCGTATCTGAAGATGGCCGCGGAAGAGGGCTGCAAGTTTGAGGATGGTGGCGCTGTGGAAGTCGCTCCCGAGTTTGATTTCAGCCTGGAAGCCGTGCATTCCATCGCAATGAGCGGGCACAAGTGGATGGGTGCGCCCATTCCATGCGGACTTTTCATGTCCAAGAGAAGGTGAATGTTCTTACGCCACCTGATGAAAAACGTTGACGAAAGTTGTGGCTCTTCCAGGTACCAAATCAACCCACCGAGCAATCCGATCTACACTGGCACTCCAGACACCACCTTTGCCGGCTCCAGGAATGGCCTTTCGGCGGTCTTCTTCTGGAGCTACATCTCCAAGCATACACTCAAGCAGCAGATTGACAAGGCCGTGCGTTGCCAGGGAATGGCACGGTTCATCTACAACACCATGACGGAGCTGGGCAAGAAACTCAACCTCGATCTCTGGGTTGCACGATCTCCACTCTCGCTCACCGTTCGTTTCCGGCAACTCAACGATGACCTGGTGTTCAAGTACAGCCTCTCCAACGAGACGCTAGTTGTCAATGATGTGCAACGCCTAATTTCACACGTCTTTGCGATGGAGCATGTCACCAAGGAACTGGTGCTCATGCTAGCGGAGGACGTGATGAAGCTCGGGCCCAAAGCTTTCAAGGACTTGTCGGATGGAACTGCAGGTGCAAGCGATGGACTTACAACGATGGATGCTCCTCTTGTTTCATGCGTGCCATTCCAGGGTCGTGGTTTCAGCGGCAACTAAAGAACTTGTGATCAAGTAATTTTTATACTAAGCATAAACTATTTATGTTGTTGGGGCGATTATCATGCGAGATGACGTCCATCTCCGGCAAGAGTTTCTTTGGCAACTTAGTGGTTGATTTTATGAGATTGCTAGAAATTGCCTAGTGGAATGCTGGGCGGTTAAGAAAGCTAGGCTTGGATTTTAATCTCCCGCTGCTGAACACCCTCACTCTGTTGCTTAGTAACCAGCTCCCACCTCAAGCGCTATCTTTCCTTGGCCGATGTCCTGTTGCTTAGCCTTGTAGTCCCACACTCTTGCGGCTCCTATTAATTGGCTGTGATTAGCCAATTCCGTATATAAGCAATTCGTAAATGTTCCTTTGTATGCTTTAAATATTCCATAAGGAAATTCATCAACTCGCTAATAGTCCATTACCGTTGAAAATGGTGGATCACTTCAAATAAACGCTTTACGGATTTATAATTTTGAAGAAGGTGGAAACATTTTGAATATACTTGAATTTGGGCACCTATGTGTAATTTGTTCTATTGTCTCCACATGTTTATAACACAATTGACAAAGTCACTTCTTCCAAAATAGGGGGTCAGGACCATTCCATATAGAGTGTAGACCATGTCCACTAGTACAGTAGGCAAGTAATATATTTGTTTTAGTCCTGAGGGCCAATACTAATTTTGCATGTGAGATTTATTGTAAATAAATTGATTAAGTCTTTTTAGCCATGTTTTGAAGGTTTGTTCTATCCATGTTGTCCGGATATATATTATGTTTGTAGAGAGGAGGTCCATCTTTAGTGATGCTAACTTGACTAAACTGCTCGGTCCAATTTTTACAAAAAAATTATAAGAGAGCACAGCAAAAATTTTTTGAACTACATTCTTGATTAATCCACTTATAATTATGCCTAAGAAAGCCAGTTAATGAAGTCAGAGATGACATACTTTGCAAGTTTATCAGAGATGCATGAGTCATACTGCATAATGTTTTTCCAGACTTGAATTGTATTGGCAAGATATTCATTCATTCATTCATATACTGTTTACAAGGTTTTGCAGCGCCCCCCAAGAAGCATGAGACTGATGGGATATTAATTCCATGTGTAAATTGCCTCAGGCCACTTTTGGGCATCCAAGTTCCAAAAGATGAAAATTCTCTCCAAAGGGCATTGATTAGACTTGGTCCCTTGATGTGAGTAAATTTCACTAAAGGGGGAATGGATTTAGCACACAGAAATATAAGTACCTAGGATACACCAGTGATCAATGCTTCCTGTGGATTTCTTGAATAGAGGAGCACATCACATCAGCAGCAAGGGCTAGTGCACTCCTCCAATCAAATTGCCATAAAGCCAACATATACAGGTGGGGCGTCAAACACACCTATTACATGAAAAAGGTAATGACAGCAGTCTTGTATGGAGTAGAGAGTTGGGGTCCAGGGCTAGAACAAGCTCGAGGCAATCAATAAGTGTTTCATCTCAACAAAATTCATACTCCCAATGGAGATTCTCACATGGAGATTCATCTCGATTTGCATATGCATCACATACATGCAAAGTGCATATTTTTTCCACAGACAGAAACTTGCAGACATGGCAATTGCTAAATTGCAACATATAGCCCAAGCTCTTGGAAAAGGTTGGTGGCACACTCTTGAGGTATGGACAGCCACCCTCAGCTGTGACCTCTCCACATTGATGACAGAATTGCTTGAACAATTGGAGTTTTGGACTTGGCAATCTCTCCAACATTGGTGTGATGCTTGGATGAAGGATAGTGTCCTTTTTTGGAATGTACATGAACACCATCAACCCAAGGTGCCAATTTGGTTTCACAATCTACAACGACTTCACCCCCACAAGTAGAGAATCCTGGCCAGTTATAGAACAGGGCATTATAGATGGATAATGAAACTTAGATGTAGTTTGAGACCACCACTACCACATGATATCCACCTCTACCCCATATGTTATGAAGAAGTTGAAGACATGGAGCATGTGGTTAACATGTGCTCAACCTATACTCCACTACGCCAACCACAGGTCCTCTAGGGGTGCAGATCTACATATAATTCTTGTAGGCAAACATTGGGCTAAGGACATTTGTGAATTTCTATGAGAAATAGAGATCAAAGTGCCTATCCTTAGTCATTGATGCCATACTCACGATTACACATTGTCACGAATGTGACTTTGGGTATTGAAAGATTGACTTTGGCCAATCCTTACGAGCACTCTTTCTTTACTGCCACAACGGCAGGAGGTATTGCTGGTTCCCTTTATTAACCCCTCTTGTCCAAGTGTTAGTAAACTGGACTTAGCATCTATACTTGGTCAGATGAGCATAAGGAAGGAATTCCTAAGTGTCTATTTAGCCAAGCATACTTGGCCTAGCTTGTTAGTTCTCTTTTGCTTTATCTTGCACTAGCTTGGCAAAGCCCTCGCGTATTAAGACTAGTCCCTCAATATTGCTGGATAATAGTTTACCGTGTTTGCCAAACACCCTTGCTATTATGCCTTTTGTGTTAGTCTCATTTCAGTCCCAAATGCTATTTATGGAAAGTGTCTAGATTTGCTCATTTGGCATATCTACAAAATGTAGAAGTCAGCCTGAACACAATAGTGTTCGTCCCATGTCCAAATTCGTAATCTAGGGACATTCCATATTTAGTATTTGGAAAGCTTGTCCCAGAGACTAACTCTTGGTACTAAGGGAAGCTTGAGGTGAAAGCCCAAAGCGTGTGTTCCTCAAGGGCAGGGGGCTATAAGGGGTTCCAAATATATAATAGGGATAATGGTTGAAATGCATGTTCGACCACATGAGACATTAGTTTGACTTCCACTGGGTTGTGTCGCTCTTTGTTCTACGTTTGGCTTGGGTTTAAGCCCAAGCTCCATGCTACTCTAGTCAGTGGGGTACCCTCCTCCTCGCGTTAGGCCACCGGTATGCCAAAATTGTGCCAGACTCCGTCTGACACCATTTTGCGTGCAGGCGCTGGATACGGGGAGTTGGTGCTCGTGGGATTGTACTGGACTCGTTTCGTAGTGTAATGGGTTTGGAGTTCGGCTCCAAATTCAAGTGTGTTACATTTGGTATTAGAGGAATTATCTTAGCGATTCTTATCCAACTTTTATCGGATTTTTGACTCAAGTTGCATAGGCAGAGACTTTTCTAGTAGATTCGAAGCGATCTGTGTAGGATTAGTTGGATTGCACCATTTGCTAGCGGGATGGTGAAAAAGAACCGTGCTGATAACGTTGAAACCTTTAGACGGGTGAATCAAGAAAAGGAAACTCTTGCTCGAGATGTTGTGGAAGAGGTTGAGGCTGAGTTAGAAGAGGAAGAGCCATATGCTGCGGCACTGCAGCGTATGGCTCAGGAAGTCGAGATCTAGAATTTGCGAAGGGAGATTCGCAAATTGAAGAAGGAGAACAAGAAGAGGAAGCAAGAAGCTAAGACAGTTAAACTAGCTAAACTTAAGCAACCAGATTCCTCTTCAAGTTCTAAGGACGATGAAGTTTTGCAACTGCCCCTGGTTGTACGAGTTTCAAAGTTCAAGCCTCTGAAACCACCCAATTTCATAGGCATGCTAGACTATCAGGTTTTGGAAGACTGGGTCTACGATATGGAAAACTATTTCATAGCGGTAGACATAGATGATCATATGAAAGTTGCATGAGCGCAATCCTTTCTCACCAACCATGCCAAAACTTTGTGGCGCCAGGTGTGTGCTGAAAAAGGATAGTGTAAGCAACCAAAGGGAACAACTTGAGAGACGATCCATAGGGTTCAAATATAGAGGGAAAGGGCCCATGAATAAGAGTGCACCCCCTTTTCTAATCAGTTAAGGGTCTTGGGATATTTGGGGTTAAGTGTTCTTGGGTTTGAATAGTACTGGGCTAGGTGACTGTAAGCCATAAATTTTTCCTTTTCGATTTGCCAACTTACCTCATCTATCTGTCCAACACTGCCTTGGCTTTTGCTAAGTTCCCTTGCCAAGATTCCCGCCTATGGTACCAGCTTCTACTTGGTCCTACTTGGTTTCAGCTACTTACTGCACGAGCAATAGAGTGTTAGCCATCCATTCACGGATTCTCAAATCTCTCCCAATCCCCTTCCCCAGGTTAGACTGCACTTAAGGTTCGGCTACACTCCCCGCAAGCACAAGCAGCCAAGCACACTAAGCTTCCAGGTTCCTAATATCCCTTGGTACCACAAGACTTGATCATAGGACCTTTTAAATCCCAAGTCTTGGGTGCAACACTTGCTTCGGGATGCGAGGGCGAAACACCATGGCCTAACGGCCTGGTATAGGTACCTCTACCCCCCCACATCCATCCCGAAGGAAAGGCCCAAGCCCCTCGGAAGGGCGAGGACCAATGAGCCACAAGGTACTCAAATGGGGCACCACTCCACATGAGCCGGGAGCACCGCAATCGGTTTCCATTTCGGGAGTGGGAACTGCTCTTGAGCACTTCCTTGGATGGCCCCTCCGGCACCAACCAAGTTCATGCTCACTCCCACCCAAGGCCCCTCGGTGCCAATCTCAACCTCAAGTCAGTTTGGAAGCCCCACTGGAGAGTTCCTTCAAAACTAGTTCCTGGACCTCACTATCCCTAGTATACTTTTGGAACCCCCTACAACTCCCCCCCCCCCGGGAGACGCACGTTTTGGGCTTTCACCCCTTAACCCGTATTAGTACTCGGACTCGATCTCGGACCCGACTTCGGATTCGGTCTCGAACTTGATCTCGAACTCGATCTCGGACCTGATCTCGGACTGGACTTTGGACTCGATCTCGGACCCGATTCTTGGATCTCGGACTTGGTCTTGAACTTGGTCTCTGAGTTGGCCTCGGACTCGATTCCGGACTCTATCTCGAACTCGGTCTTAGAGTCAGTTTTGGACTCGATCTCAGACTCGGTCCCATCCGATGAACTCTTTGTCATTTTGGTCATGCTTTCGGGGATCCTTTAGCCTACGACACCTCGAGGAGTTGGTTCCTTACAACTCCACCACCCATAGAAGAAGTTTGATGCCCACATCAAACGTCTCTTTTTTATCCTACGATTTGTTGACCATGTCTGCGGGGGCATCCTCCCCACTTAGCGGTGTGCCTAAATT